TATTATCAGCTGGATAATTATCTCAAAGAAAAAACAACGATCTCTATTATGTATTTGTGTGTAAAAAATGGAAGATGAAACGAAAACAAAATAATTTTCAATTAAAATAATCAGCTTTGATCAATACTTTGGAAATGTTTTTTAAATTGTTAATTTTTGATAATAATAAACTAATTGTAAATTGTTTCTTGAATTAATTGTCCTTTCTCAATTAGTTTCCTCTAACAGGTCTAACAGGACATCAAAGGGAGAGAAAATTGGGCGTTTTTCTTTTTTGTTTCATAATTTTTTCCGTTTATTTTATAGAAATGGGTAGTTGAGGTATTCTGGCATTTTTGGTGGTTTTTAAATAATTTTTGAGAACTTCAGGCGGCGAAATAGTCCGAAGTAGGAAATTACTTCCATTTCCATCCGGAGCCGAAGTTACAAAACTCAAATACCAACCACTAGTTGAACTAATTTGCCGTTAACTTGACACAATGTGCAATTTTTAAAGCTTGCTTTTCTTGGACCTTTTATTATTTACTTTCTAGTAAATTTTTTCTCGTCTCCTAGCATTTCTTCTCTTTATACTCTTTTTTAATCAATGCTTTGCAAATCTCTTTGACAAATAAATACGTACGTTTTGGCTATTTTTTCCCTTAATACATAAATCCACATACTTTAATAGTTAAGATTTTAAAAAACAAATTTTTCATTTAAAATTTTATTTATATTTATGTAAAATAGCAGTATTTCTGCTTCCACGAACTGTCGGATTTAGTGCTATAACAGGAGCATTTTTATGGCTAATTCGTTTTTTTGCTTGCCACGTTTCTCTTTTTTTACCTCATTTATTTTTTTACATGTAAACAATTTTATTTTGTTGTTTACATCTGTAAATAAGGCATGTATGTACATACACCAAAAAAATAAATTCTTTAAACTATTAAAAAAGGAATGGATTGATTTTTTTATTTTTATTTGGCCAAATCAAATCGTCTGTGTTTGTCATTTTATTTTTATTTTTTAAATTTTATCAATGAGCTTTCCAAAAAATTTTTCTTTTTTATTACCTAAAAATTTATTATTTTTTAACAAAAGATTATTAATAATTAAAACAATAAAGACAACAAAAACTTTATTGACAAAAACAACTTTAACAATGGAAGATACAGAAGACGTTAGGGAGATTACTATTGAACCGGAAGGTCTCTCGGCATTACTTGGAATCCCTTTGGGTGCCCGTTCTATTGTTATTTTTGCTCACGGTAGTGGAAGTGGAAGATTAAGTCCAAGAAATAATTATGTTGCTGCTGAATTGAGGCGGGCCGGAATGGCTACGCTTTTGTTGGATTTACTTAGACATGAAGAGGCTATTCGGCAAAATGTTTTTGACATTCCTCTTTTGGCTTCTCGACTTAACCGAGCTTCAGAATGGGTGCATTCTAATGTTGAAACTGAAACATTCACACAAGGATATTTTGGGGCTAGGTGGGAAAATTAAGGATAATTTATGTATTTCTGTCTGTTTATTACATATTTTTTGGGGTTTAAGCAGGGATGTGCCGAAACAGATTTTGAAAAACGGAAGGCGAAAGTCATTTCCAAAAAGCGAAAGACGGAAGGCGAAATGGCACACTCCTGGTTTTAAGGCTGTTTAAGAAATTGTTCTTTCATTATTTCACACCCTTATCAAATTATTTCCAGTACTGGTGCAGGTGCAGCTTTAATGGCAGTTGCATCTGCCAATCCAGAAATTAGAATAAAAGCAGTAGTTTCCCGTGGTGGCCGTCCTGATTTGGCTATACCTGTTTTGGATAAAGTAACTATACCTACTTTAATGCTTGTTGGAAGTTTGGATGAGCCAGTTATTGGAATGAATCAAAGGGCAATTGAAGCACTTGTTAATTGTAAAGAAAAACAATTAATTATTGTTGAAGGGGCAACACATCTTTTTGAGGAGGCTGGGACTTTAGATCATGTAGTGCAACATGCAAAGTACTTATGTTTAATTATTCGAAATAAATTGATTGAATTATTTAATTGAATAATTCCAAACATTTAAGGGAGCTTTATAAAGACAAAACTATTAATTCTCAATAAAGTGATATAAAATCTGAATAAATTATTAGGCAATAAATCCAAGTTATTTAATTATTAATTTTATCCTTTTTTATTTCAGGAACTGGTTCCTCAAGTATTTGCTATAATAAGATGAGAATTTTATTTAAATTTGAGAAAATTCCATTTGAATTTGTAAAGATATTTATATAATTTATAAAAATAATTTTAACTCATTAAATTTAATTTTTTAAATAAAATACTTCAGACTTTCTTGTTTAACTTTAAATTGTTATTTTTCAAGAAGTACGTAAATATATGGCAAAATAAACTTGAATATTTTTTACATTCTCCTTGCAATTCTGATTATATTATAAAGGAGATCTGTTAATTATTTTTAAGAAAATTATATATTTAGAGATGTAAATTTGTGTTTTTTCCTTCTGGATCGACGGTGATCGGTCTTTCGGAGAGACCCAGAGACAAGGAAGAAGGGAGATTTAGCTGGACGCTTATATCTGGATTTAAGATCTTTTTATCCATACTTGCTGAAGGACTAAATGAATATTTCCTTCTTCGAGGTGTCACAAAAACTAAAAAAATAGATCCAAACAAAACAAAAATTACTTATATTATTAATACATACTAGATTAACATAATAGAGAAAAAGTTTAGTAAGAAATGTTTAAAATTTTTAGGAATAACCAATAAGGATGGGATGGAATCTTGCGGGAATACACGTGTTTTTCAGCCAATATCTATGTATATATGTATAATACATTTGTTTAAAAATCTATGAAACCTCAACTTTTTTAAAAATAATTTTGTAAATAAATCTATATTTATTTGTTTCGAGTGAAGAATAAGTTTGTTGTTCAATGCTTTTAAAGAAAATTGTTTAAAAATTCATTGAGTTTAATGAATTTCAAAGTCAATTTGACTAGAAACAATTTGATAAAGTGAAGTTAAGAATTAAGATATTCTCTAATTTTATTTTATCTATATTGTTAGACTTCTCGATTAATTCTAATTTTACCGAGATATCTGAACTTGTTTTAATTTACTTTCTGTATAAGTTTTATTCATTGATTTTATCATTTATTCTACATATTATTAAATATATTTTATAACACTTATTCAAATTTTATTATTCAATACATATGTAGATTTAAATAAAATTTTATTTTTAATTTCTGTTTGCCTTTTTAGCAGTTTGTATTTTGCTAAAAATTGAAATTAAACTTTACATAGAATATTATTTAAATATTTATTAAATAAATAAATATGCATTTTTTATAAATTTTATGCGTATAAACATTTTAACATGGAATTTATGTTAAATTCAAAATATTTAATATTATTTTTCTGATGAAATTGGCAATATATTAAAATATTCTTATATATTTTTGTAAAATAAACACAAAAAATTAATGCAAATCCAAATATTATTTTAAAAATAAAATAGAAAATCTCTCAGTAGATGTCAACATTAAAATTTTTATGACAAATGAATTCTAATATTTCCAAAAAAAATATTAACTGTAATAAAGAATGCCAAGAAATTAATAATGAAATAAAAGAATCTCCATCTCAAGTAGCTATTTTGTCTATTGAAAATAATATTGGTGTTGAAAAAGAAATGGAACTTCAAATAAATAATAAAGTTACTAAAACTTCTTTAAATTTAAATGAGGATGCTTGTTGGAATAATCCAATGTTAGCAATAGAAAGATTCCAAATATTCTGCAAAGAATTTATTATTAAATATAAACAAATTGTTAGAGGCATCCTATTAATTGGAACTTTGTTGGGTTATCATTTATTTTTAGGTAAATAAATAAATATTTTTATAAGTTTGTTTTGCTTCTGTGAAGGTTTTGGAAGATCCATTGGAAAAATAAATGCCTCATTAAAGATGAGGCATTTATTCTCATTCCAAGGGACTTTCCAAAGCTTAAGGAACCTATATTTATTCCAAGGGACTCCATCTGTTTTATTTCAACCCTAATAAGATTATAAAAAACCTCTCTCATAAATTCCCCTTTCCTTCGAAGGTGTCAAAAAAATAATAGAATAATTATTTTCAATAATAAAAATTTTTAAATTAAAGTTTTGGCACTTTTACATGATTCAAATAAATCATTTAATCTTGCTATATTTACTTCAATATGTTGGCTTTATATTTTTTATAGAAAATTTCTGTTACCTTTTTTGAAAGCAAGAACTAAAATAATAACTAGAAGAAGACAATATGCTCAATTTTATTCCTTTACGGAAGCTATTAAAAATAATAAATCTTTAATAAGGCATTAAATATATATTTTTATTTTAAATTTAATTTAAAATATATGTAGATTGTGCAATTTATTTGGATTTCTTATTCCACTTTCTTATATGATTTGGGATTGCAGAAAGTAAAAAATAAAAAAATATTTAATTAATTAAGAACACTTAAGCAAGAATATATATTTTTTAATTCAAAATTTAAATCATTAATATAATATATTTTGGTGTCTATCTGTTCGGGTTCATGCGATTAAAATATTTAAATTTATTTTTTAGTGCTCCACATCGCCTTTCTGGATTAGTTGGTCTTTGTTTTTTCGTAATTATACTTTGCCTTTGCTCTCACAAACCTTCTAAAGTAAATTAATATAAAAAATATTACTAATAGAGTTCTAGCTCTAATTATTAATTATAAATATATGTATAAAATGTTTAGATTAAATGGCGTCCTGTACTTTGGGGATTTTTGCTACAATTTATTTTTGGAATTATTGTATTACGTTGGGTTAGTTCTGAAAGTATTTGAATTCTTCAATTAATGTTATTATTAGGATTGGGGTGCAAATAAATTCAGCGAGATTTCTAATTTAATTATTTCAATACTTGATTTTACTTTCCATGGAACTGATTTTGTATATGGATTTTTGTCATCCCCACCAAATATTTGTGGAATGCATCCAGTATTAGCTTTTAAGGTTTCCTGATTAATTTTTATTTAAAAGAATGAAATTAATTATTATGTAAATTAGATTTCTTTAAATTAATCATATTTTTACATCATACAATACTCTCATTTTCCTTAAGATTCTCCAAGTAATTATTTATGTTGGTGCTCTTGTCTCTGTTCTTTATTTTTATGGAATTATTCAAGCAGTCCTAAAAAGATTAGCTTGGTTAATGCAATTTACTATGGGGACAACAGCCACAGAATCTTTAAATGCTTGTGGTTGTGTTCTTTTAGGAAATGTATTTTTCTTAATTAAAAATATTTTTAAAAAATATATTTTTAAGGCAGAATCTCCACTGCTTATTCGTCCTTATATAGAAAAAATGACTAATTCTGAATTACATGCAATCATTACTACTGGGTTAATAGATATTCTTAATACATACATATGTATATTAATTTGATTGTTTCAGTTTTTCATGTATTGCTGGTGCCGTCTTTGCTGTATTCATTAGTTTTGGTGCTTGTCCTCGTTATTTACTCTCAGCTGCGGTAATGGGCGCCCCCGGCTCATTAGCCTGCTCAAAACTTCTTTATCCAGAAACTGAGGAATCTACAACTAAAGGGGTTGATGATTTGGATTTACCGCCGAGGTAATTTTACATTTCGCTTATAATGAGTGTGTTAAAAAAATTTTCTGACCTAATTTATAGTCTAACTTTTTTAAGTGAAAAGAAGAATGCAATGGAATCTATTTCTTCTGGATCAACAGAGGCTATTCATTTAGTCAATTGTTTAGTTGCTAGTATGATTACTTTTATTTCACTTACTGCATTAATAAGTGGAATTATTGAATATGCGGGTTCCTTATTAGGTTATCCGGGATGGAGTTTGGAGTTATTATTTGGATATGCGCTTTTTCCTATTGCTTATTTAATTGGTGTTACTGATGGTATGGATCAAGCTTTAGTATGTTAATATAAAGATTAAAATGATTGGTTATAAATAGGGGGTGGCAAAATATTCACGGGAAATCCCAAAATAAGCAATGCAATATGCAAAATTTATTGAAATTTATAAAAATTTTTGCTTTAAGCTTGTCGGAAGACTCCTAGGTATAAAAATTGCAGTCAGTGACCTTCTCTCCTTCAAACAACTTGGTGAAATTCTTCATCTTTTGACGGTTTCTAAAAGAATATTTAAAATATTATTAGTAAATATTGTTTACAGCCTCGTACAGCAATGATTGCAACATATTCACTTTGCAGTTTTAGCAATTTAATTTCAGCTGGTGCACAAATGGCTATAATTGGAGGAATTGCACCTAAGACAAAACCTGTAATTTCTAAATTAATTATGAGTGCTCTTTTTGGAGGAAATATTACTTGCTTTATTTCTGCTTGTATTGCTGGTAAACAAAGCAAAACTTTACATAAAATATAATTTATATTTTTAGGTATTTTAATAGAAGATCCAATACTTTGTCAGAAAACATATGGCATTCAATCAGAAAATTGTTTTGATTTAAATTTACATCAAAAATTTATGGAGGAAATTATTAGACAAAGAAATATTACTCTTAATTAATTAATTTTTTACATATTATTTTTAATATTTACATATCAACATTTGGCCTGGTATAAGATACGGATAATATCCTGATACCCGCGGATACGTCGGATATGGATATGAAGGTCATATCCGCTGGATATTCGAATTATCCGCAATATGTATATTTATCTAAGATCTAATTTTTAATATTTTTCCAACATTTGTAAAACATGTAATAATTAAAGGATTAAAAATATGACTGGATAAGCTAATGTAATGCTACGGTTACATAAAAATCGCGCGCGACACGCGACAGAAAAGATAATGGAAAAAGAGGAGAGAAAAATCGCGCGCGATTTTGTCGCTTTTTTCTAGTGGTTACATAAAAAGCGACTTCCGCCGGCGACTTGTCGCGCGCGACTTTGTCGCTTTTTTGAGTGGTTACATAAACCGCGACTTCCGCCGGCGACTTGTCGCGCGCGATTTTGTCGCTTTTTCTAGTGGTTACATAAAATGCGATTTCCGCCGGCGACATGTCGCCGGCGACACTTTTTTTGATTCAAACATGTTTGAATTTTCGGCGACACTTTTTTGCGACATGCTATTTCTCGATCAATTCTGATCCGATTTTCAAAATTTAAAAAGATTCTGAAAGTTCAGTTTATTCTCTATCGATCAATATAAATTTTATATTTTTAAAGCTAAATCTTATGGGTTAAAATTGATTTTGAAAAAGGTATACATTTTGCAAAAAATATTCTTTTTTTTTCGATATTTTTGAGATTTTCAGTATACTATCGAGTATTTATATCATAATTTTTTTAACAATTGGTCAAAAATTCTGAATTTTTGATATTTTGTAGAGCCTTTGATTCTCTATCAAATGATTCCAAAAACATGGAAAAGTGAGCATTTCTTGATGAGTAGGGCCGTGCAAAAGCATGCAAATTAGAGGTCGGCAAAATCGATTTCACGGGATCCCGGAACTTGAGAACAGGTAATCCCGTTCTCAAATTTCCCTGGATCCCGCCGGGATTCCGGGATTTTCACAAAAAATTTTTAAATTATAAATATGTTGAATATTGGCGGATTTGGAGACAATATCAGTGGATCCACTGATATCAATCTTAATCCTCTGTTATCTATTCATTCCTCCTTTAATCTGTCTAAATCCACCGATATTGTCTCCAAATCCGACGATATTCAACATATTTATAATTAAAAAAATTTTTTGTTAAAATCCCGGAATCCCGGCGGGATCCCGGCAAATTTGAGAACGGGATTACCGGGATTCCGGGATTTACGGGATTAATCCCGCGGGATCCCGTCCCGTACAAAATTTTGAAAAAAAATCCCGTTCCGGGATCCCGGGAATGCGATTTTGCCGGACTCTACTCTATATCCCGCTTGAACAACTTTATACCTCTTTCCAATTTCAGCGCCGCAGGCGAAAATTTGAGAATTTTGGAAGACCACTGGGCAAGATTTCTTCCTTTTTTCCTAATTTTAGGATCCTAAAATAGTCCCAAATTTTTGACATTTTTTCTAAAATAGGTATATTGAAAATATCTCATGTCTTGTGGCAAAATACGAGATACGAGACCTCTAAAAAACACGAGATTTCACTAGATACGAGAGGAGCGCCACCAGTAAGTAATTTAAAAATGATGTGCTACGAATTAAAAAACCTTATCGGTACCATGGCAGAATAAAATGATTTGATTTTATAAATTTTATTTTAGTAAATATTCAAAAAATTTTTAATCGGATTTAGTGGTTACATAAAAATCGCGCGCGACACGCGACAGTCGCTAGGCGACAAGACGCGCGCGACAGTCGCTAGTGGCGTGGTTACATAAAATCAGCGTTTGTCGCTTTGCGACAGTCGCTTTTGCGGAAGACGCCGATTTTATGTAACCACGCCACTAGCGACTGTCGCCGGCGACATGTCGCCTAGCGACTGTCGCGTGTCGCGCGCGATTTTTATGTAACCGTAGCATAAGGGGCTAACAGTAAGACCAATTTTTACAAAAAGAGTGTGCTATGTGAAAGAAATCATGTTTAATTTATTTTAATATGAATTTAAGTACATTATTTTTAAATAAAATTTTTATTGTGTGATAAATAATAATAAAACGATTCAAAAATTAGCCAAAACTTTCTCTACTATGACTTTCATGACTACGACGACCTCCTCCACCTGTTCTCCATGGCCGCCAACCGACTGGACGTATTCCATAGCCTGCTCCCATGTTCATCCATCCTCCTCCACTTCCATATCCATTACATCCGCCGTAACCACAAGGGCCATATCTATATGTACCACCACCCCAACCGCCAAAACGTTTTGGCCTAAATTTTATAAAAATTTTATTTAAAAAAATAAGAATTTTAGTAAAGCATTTCTTTGTTTAAAATGGTAAGTTTAAAATTTACTACCTTCCTTCATTGTTATCAGAATTGGTTTCTGTCGAATTAATTAAGTTAATATAAATAACTAATAATGTAAAGATAAAAGGTATTGAGATTTTTAGTTTTGTCATAATAATTATTAATTGATAATTTTCTCTAAAATTTCTGGTATATTTTGACATTGTTTGGAATTAATTGGAATTAATTTGGAATTAATCTTTATTTAAATTATCCGTCATTAACTTTCATCTCTTTACAGGGTGGTAAAGCTTGTTAGTAGTGATGGTATAACTCTGGAGCTTCGGAAAAAAGATCTGAAAGAGGCCGTGGCAAAGATTTGAAATTTTGTTTTATTATTTAAAACAAAAATATTATTTTTTGGAAATATTATTAAAAGTTTTTACCAAAATATAGGTAAATAGCTATTTAGAATTTAAATTTTTAAATAATTTTGTAATTATATATAGTATTTTCTACATAAATGAATTTATTGAGAAAAAATATTTAATTTTAGCTTAACAGTTATTTAACGAATAATTTAATTATAAAGTTTAAAATTTAAAAAATATTATTTAATCGGCGAATTAATTATTTAAATATGTACATATTTAGATCAGTATTTAACGAATAAAATATTTTTGTTAAACTTTAATTTATTATTTCTAGAAGACAATCATCTATAATTTGTAGATCAAAGTTAATTTTTTTAACTTTCAAAAACTAAAATTCAGCCAGTATTTTTTACTAAAATCTTAGAGGCGGCCTTTTAAGAAATCACATAAACAAAATTTAAAATTAAAAAAATCAATATCGTATTAGATAAAAATTTACTAAAGTGCAAACTTGTCAGTCTGTCAATAATATTTTTATTGAATAATTTTATTTTTGAATATTTTGTATTTTGACAAAGTGCTTTATTGAGTTATTTATTTCTTAATAAATTTTTGTTAATTTTATTAAAATATACATATATGTACATATGTTCATAAATATAAATAATTAATAACTTCCCCTAAGAATTTTAAGTTTACAAGTTGCATGAATTTTATTCAAGAAACCCTAAAACATGAAGGCATGCCTAGTTAATTAGTTTCCACAATTCAACCCTTTTTGTTGAATTTCATAATGGAGTTTAATTTCATACAAAAATTTTTATCTATCGTTATATTTATTATTTGTCATACACAATCTCCTAATAATTAATTGTTTTTAGAAAAATCCCAACATCAAAAAATATTAATTTTTTATTCTATAATTTATTAAATAAATTTGAAAAAATGTTTTCAAAAAATTTATTTTTTGTTCAATTTATTTTCCAATTATTTTATGTAACTTTATCAAATATTCAAAATGATGAACAATTTATTATTGAAAATCAAGGTTATGGATATATTAATATAAAAAGAATTGAATTTAATAATTATTTAAATAAAAATATTTTAAAAATAATTATTGAAATAACCAATTCTGTCAGAGCCATTTTTGTAGTTCCAAATAAAGGATATAAAACACCTTATTTTAATAAAGGACAATCAAATAAAAAAATTTATTATGTTGGGAAATCAAATTTAAGGGATGGAAATACAGAAATAAATATTATAGAAGATTTTGATAATAATTATAGAGAGGGGATTGTTATTTGTGGAAGATTAATAAATAAAAGAATTTTTGTGGTAATTTGGAAATTTAAATAAAAATAAATTAATATTTTCTGATAAATACACTGCGTTTCAAAAAGATGGCACATCATGTTTTTTCGACATAACTCAACGGAAAAGTGGCCATTTTGTTTGAAATTTATTTGTAATTAGGTCTGATAAAAAATGCTATTAAAGCTCCGACCCGATTCACGATTCCCGAAAATCGAGAATTTGATTTTCTGTCGGCGCGATCGCTGATACTGATCATAATTTTATTATATTATTTTTAATTAAATTTATTTTCTAAAAATTAAATTTAAATTAATTTTTCTAGACATTAATGAGAATTAAACCGCTCTTTCACAATAAATTATTTATTGAACCAAAGGAGGTTGATGAAGATTTTGATAATTTTAAATTAATGAAATTCGAATGGTTTTTGGATTTTAAAAATCAAAAAAATAATTTAATTAAAATTTGTTTGAAATTTAAAAATAAAGGAGAATATTTAATTAATTTAGCATCTGACATTTTAGATAAGAAATTATTAGAATTTAATTTTAAAATTGATAAAGAAATGTTAATTAATTGTAAAATATTTAATGAAAAAATTGAAGAAAAAGAATTAATTAAATTAAAAGAAAAAATATTTATTTATTATTATAAAATTAATGAAGAAATTGATTTTGAGGAATATAATGTTGAGGACGATAGTATTTTGTTATTAAATATTACAGAAATTGAGCCATTAATTTCTGATGGAATTTATGAATTTTATTTTGAAAATAATGGAAATATTAAACAAAAAAACGAAAATATAATTAAATATTTAAATAAAAGAGAATTAAATAAAACAAATAAAAATAAAATACTTCCTATTTTTAAAGAAGAATTAGATGTTCTAATTGATGGAAATTATTTTAAAATGAATAAAAATGGAAAAATTGAAAAATTAAAAACAAGTTTAGAAAATGAAGAAAATTAATTATGAAAATAAAATTATTAAATAATTAAATATATTTTTTGGGTGAAGAAATAGACATGAAAATAAAGTATTTCACAAGTTTAAAGATTTTTTCTATTAACCTAAACAAAATTAAAACTCTTAGAAATTTCCTCGTACTTGCGATAAGTAACAAAATATACCTGTTATAATGTTCTTTAATATTTAAATATAAATAACTTTATATGAAAATATATTCATTAATTGTATAAATTCCTTAGTAATACATTAATAATTAATTGTTTTGTAAAATTAAAAAAAAATTTTCTATATTTATTATTGTTAATGTCAAATTAACAAAAAAATTCAAAAAAATCAATTTGTATTTTATTTCCTTATTTGTTTAGTTAGCTGCATAAGGAAATACTGGATGATTGGAAGTTTATTTTAAAATATAAATTATTTTTCTAATAAATTAAAAATGTTTTTAAATATAGGTATTAAGCTTATTTAATATTTAATTTTATTTAATTAATTTTATTTTTTATTGACTTATACAACAAACAATTAATATCTAATGTTCTTTAGCTTAAAAGATTTATCAAGCTTATAACGTGCATATTAAGCTCAGGTTTAGTTTGTCTTACCAATTATTTTTTATCTAATCCAGTCTCGTCCTCCCCCCCCCTTCATCTTATCCATAACCTAAGTGTGCATATTTCTTAATACTTAGATACATATGCAAAATTTTTAACTGCCGTTTCTCATTTTTTTAAATTTTAAAGATCATGTGCATTCTCTAAAAAGACCAAAAATCGTTATAAATAAAATTTCAATATTTCTATAATTGTAGCAAAAAAAATTTATTGAGGGATTATCCTTTCAAATTTTATTATAATAACTGTAGTTGTGACTAAAATATTATATATCGGATTTATTTTAAATTGGCAAAATTCTTTTACCGTTACCAAAAATTTTATTTAAAATTCTTGCTCTTTATTCCAAAAATATGAAAAATCTCGATATAAAACAGTTACGACTTTCCTATTAAATAAATTCACACAATAATTTTTGTACATAGTTTAAAAGATCGTATAAGTTTTTTATACCTCAAATATGCAAAAGAATTTGAGAGGAGGAGATAAAAGTTTTGCCCGGTTACAGCTATAATTCTAGTGAGATAATTTGAAGTAAGAATTATCCTTTATTAGAATAAAGATATTAGAAAAATAATTTTGTCTAAAAATAATAATTAAACGATTTTTAAGGCTAAAAATAAAAGCAACATTATTTTAAGTGAATCTCTTATATTTCTTTGTAAAATATATTAAATTTAGTTTTTTTTCTTAAATCAAAATGCTTTTAGTTTAATTTTTATTTAATTTAAGTAAATTATAACTCAATATTTAGAGAAAGGATTAATTTAAAAAAGAGGGAGGGAGAAATGATTTTTAAACTTAAATAAATATATGTATTATTTAGTTATTTAATTATAAATTTATTGGCAAACAATCAAATAGTTAATAGCTTTTAAAAAAATTTTCTCATAAAAGAGTAAATTTTAGAAATAAAATTTTTAATCATGTTGGAAGAGATGTACTCATTTTAATATTTTTAATTATTTAAATTAAATATTTATTAATTTAAAAAAACGAAGAGGATAAAGAAATCATTCATTCAATTTATTTATCCCTTTCTTCTTATTTTTAAATCTTCCTCTAAACATCAATTCCTTTTTTAGCTTGAGTTTTTTTCTTTAATAATTAAATACACCACCCTGACCACCTTCCTTCTAACTCCCCCCTCCAACCCCCCCCCCCCCCCTCTAATCATTAAATAATTGGCTCTTCAATTCATCAATAATTTTTTATTAATTTATCAATTCTCGCGCAACTCTCTGCCTTTACGTCAACACATTTTTACTTTATTTTGTGTTCATCGGCCAGTTTCCCCTAACAACATTTTTATTTATTTATGTACTAATATAATAAATATTTATTTTTTATTTGTTAGCTATTTACATTTAAATATTTTTTTAATTATGTTTTTTTGTTTTTAAATAAATTATTAATTTTCAATGAAAATATAAAAACTAGTAGATATTTTAATTTAATTAAGAAAGTTTAGAATAATAATTGTAATTTTGAACAAAATATATTTTATTTTATTATTTTATTTTTTGAATTGCAGATTTTTGTGTTTTCGTTTTTATTTATTTTTTTTTAAATATAACAGTAAAAAAATACAATCAAACCTCCTTTCAATTTAAGGTAAACAAACAAATTTTATATAGAGAATCAATCTAACTTTCAACAAGAATTTCTAAAAATTTATTTAAATCCAAACTTCTATAAAATATTTTTTTAATTAAAATGTCATCTAAAAAGCCAAAAGGAAAATTTTTTGATTCTGTTAGCGACAGCACAATTGACTTGCAAGAATTAAATATTTCTGACAATAATATAACATCAGAAGATACTAATAGTGAACAAACAAAAATAGTAATAATTTATATTTAAATTATTTTTTTAATTAAAATAAAAATTATTTCCTCCTAATTTAACAATAAAATTAAATTAAAAAAATATTTTTTAATTTTAATTTTAATTTTCAAACAAATATTAATAGGCTGAAACAGAGAGAACAATATTAGAAACAAATGGAGGAGTATTATCCCCAACACCTTTTCAATTTAAAATTTTAACAATAGAGGGAAATGGAAATAAAAAGCCTATTAACTCCTCAAATAATTCAAATGATGATGAAGATGATTGTTGGAATAATCCAATGTTGATAATAGAAACATTCCAAATAATTTGTAAAGAATTTATTATTAAATATAAACAAGTTTTTAATGGAATTGTGAAACTTGGAATTTTGTTGGGTTATCATTTATTTTTAGGTAATTATAAATTAATAAAAATTAAATAAATAATTAATTTAAATATTAAATAAAAATTAAATTAAATTACTTCTCATTGAGTGGGCTTCTAATAGGGCATGGGCTTCTATTAGGATATTTACGATAATTAATTTTAAAAATCCTTACACATGCTTTCCTTATAATTCTTTAATTTTTCATTAATTTTTCAACATTAATTAATTTATAAATTAATTAGAGTTTGTTTAATGTGATCTCGAATATATTCAAATATTTATTTTAAATTCAAGTATTCCTATGTACATGCTAAAGCTAGGTAGTAAATTAATCCTAAAATTTTAGGATTATAGGAAACACTCTCTCAAAGGATTCCCCTTTCCTTCGAAGGTGTCAGAAAAATAATAGAATAATTATTTTTAATAATAAAAATTTTAAAATTAAAGTTTTGGCACTTTTACATGATTCAAATAAATCATTTAATCTTGCTATATTTACTTCAATATGTTGGCTTTATATTTTTTATAGAAAATTTCTGTTACCTTTTTTGAAAGCAAGAACTAAAATAATAACAAGAAGAAGACAATATGCACAATTTTATTCCTTTACTGAAGCTATTAAAAATAATAAATCTTTAATAAGGCATTAAATATATTTTTTTAATTTTTTTAATTTAAAATATATGTAGATTGTGCAATTTATTTGGATTTCTTATTCCACTTTCTTATATGATTTGGGATTGCAGAAAGTAAAAAATAAATATTTAATTAATTAATTAATTTCTAGTAGTGTTCATCGCTTATCTGGATTATTTGGTCTCACTTTTTTCTTTCTTTTAATGTGTCTTTGTTCTTATAAACCAACTAAAGTAGTCTTTAAAATAATCATTTTTCCATTTAATTTTACAATAGATTAAATGGCGTCCTGTTCTTTGGGGATTTTTGCTACAGTTTATTTTTGGAATTATTGTATTACGTTGGGTTAGTTAAATAAAAATAAAAATAAGATTTTAATCTTATTTAAATTCAAATTCCTCTTATTTAAAATCTAGGAATGGGGTGCCAGTCGTTTCATTGAATTATCAGATATGGCTATGATAATGCTAGATTTCACTTATAATGGAACAGATTTTACTTATGGTTTTCTTTCAACGCCTCCAAATATTTGTGGAATGGAGGCAGTTGTTGCTTTTAGGGTTAGGGAATATTTTTCTATTTTTAGAAAAAAAAATATTTTTAAAGTTTCTTCAAGTAATAATTTATGTTGGTGCTCTTGTCTCTGTTCTTTATTTTTATGGAATTATTCAAGCAGTCCTAAAAAGATTAGCTTGGTTAATGCAATTTACTATGGGGACAACAGCCACAGAATCTTTAAATGCTTGTGGTTGTGTTCTTTTAGGAAATGTATTTCTCTTAATTAAAAATATTTATAAACTACCTACGTATATATTTAAGGCTGAATCTCCAATGCTTATTCGTCCTTATATAGAAAAAATGACTAATTCTGAATTACATGCAATCATGACTACAGGGTTTTCATGTATTGCCGGTTCTGTTTTTGCTGTATTTATTAGTTTTGGTGCTTGTCCTCGTTATTTACTCTCAGCTGCGGTAATGGGCGCCCCAGGCTCTTTAGCTTGCTCAAAACTTCTCTATCCAGAAACTGAGGAATCTATAACTAAAGGAGTTGATGATTTGGATTTACCGCCGAGGTACTCCTCACAAAGATTTTTAAATTAAAACAAAAAAATTTTAAGTAAAGAAAGGAATGCAATGGAATGTGTTGCTTCCGGTTCTTTAGAAGCCGTTCATTTAGTCACTGCAGTACTTGCTAGTCTAATTTCTTTTGTAGCCATTATGGCTCTTTTAAGTGGGATAATTGATTATGCCGGCACTTTAATTGGTCATCCAGGGTGGAGTTTGGAGATGTTATTTGGATATGCCTTTTTCCCTATTGCCTACTTAATTGGAGTAACAGAATTTGAACAAGCCTTGGTTTTTAATGATAAAATAATTTGTGTTTTTAAAAATTAATTTTTAGATAGTTGGAAGGTTATTGGGTGTAAAAATAGCAGTCAGCGATTTTATAGCTTATAAAAGACTTGGAGAAGTCCTCCATCTTTTAACGGTTTTAAAATTAATTTAAAATTTAATCAAATATAATTAGCCTCGTTCTGCAATGATTGCAACTTATGCTTTATGTAGCTTTAGTAATTTTATTGCTGCTGGTGTACAAATGTCAGTACTTGGTGGAATGTCTCCCCAAAAGAAACCTTTAATCTCTAAATTAATTATGCGTGCTTTAATGGCTGGTTGTATTTCTTGTTTTGTTTCTGCTTGTATTGCTGGTAAATTTAATATTTTATTTTAAATACATCAGCTACCTAATTTAAATTCCCTTAAATTTTTATAATGAAGAGTAAATATTTTGCTTGTAATTTTAAATTAAATAGAAATTAATTCGCGTTTTTAGTTATATGTAACTCAGAACTGTTTCTGATAATCTTAGCTATCATTCGCCGCACCTACCCTTTTTTGAAATTAGTTAGATTTTCCTTTAACACCAGAGGGGAAAATTTTTTTTGAACCTAACTAGGAAATTTTGGCCTTCTGATAAAAATGATTTTTATTGAAAAATGCGTTTCCCTACTTATGATATGAATAGTTTTTCATGAAAGTTAAATAAAATTATCGCTTACCCAAACCATTAAATTAAATGTATTCCTAGACCCTTTAAGCTTTTAATTAATATATTTTTAGGTATTTTAATAGAAGATCCCATACTTTGCCAAAGAACATATGGCACAAATTCTGGTAAATGTTTTGATATAAATGAACACCAAAGATTTATGGAAGAAATTATTAAACAGAGAAATATTACTGGAAATATTATTTAAATATTTTTTTAATTTTTTACAATATTGCTTTAAAATATTTTTGTATAATATATTTTCTATTAATATTAGAAATAAAGTTTACTTTAAAAATATTTTTATTGTATTTTAAATTATTTATTTTTCCACTAATACTTTTTCCAATAAATTTTGTCAAATTCATTTAATATTTCCAAAAAAATTTTTTTTAATTAATTTCTATTTAGAATTCAGAACTGTTCATGATAAAATTAGAATAATAAATAGTAGATAATCTTGATTAATTTTGGTTTCCTAATTAATTTTATTTTTTTTAATTTAAGCACTAAAATCTTTATTTAAGTATTTTAGAAAAATTATAAAATGCTTTAAAGAATTTTATATTTATGTTAAAAATGTTTTGAAATTACATATTTCTACATACATACATATATCTAATTTAGTCGAAAAAAGAAAATAAAGATTAGGGTTGCCAAAATGGACCGACTCGGACCGAAAGATCGAGTCATGCCTCGATGTTTGGCCCGAAAAAGTCTCGTACCGGCCCGACTCGATAAATTTGGGCCCGAAAAAGACTCGTAACGGCCCGACTCGATAAAGTTAGGCCCGAAAGTGACTCGTACCGGCCCGACTCGATAAAAACAGGCCCGAAAAAAATTGTCTCGGAAAAAGTCGGCCCGACTCGAACAAGACTCGATAATATTTTTACCAGATTTGTGGACAAAAATGGATGAAATCTGGCTCCTTGGCCTTCCAAAATTCGAAAAATTTTCGCCTGCGGCGCTGAAAAAGGAAGAAGTTTGGTCCTTAGCCTTCCGAATATCTCAAAATTTTTGCCTGCGGCGCTGAAATGAAGGATTTTTAGCTCCCTTTGCTTCACATCTCGAACTTACTGGCTTTAATTGATGAGCTGGATTACTTGGAGTTATGGTATATATTCCGCGGGATCCCGTCATAATTTGAACTTTTGAAACTCAATCAGTTTTGAGAGTCCACAATTTTCCGCAGTTCTAGCAGCCCCACTGGACACGCCCTTGGATTAAGTGTACGATGAATTTATTAAGTGTACGAGGATCAAGGATACGAGGAATTTTAGCATACAGCGGGATTTTATTAAGGGATTTGGTGATTAACGCACGATATCCCCGATATCCCTTCAAATCTCCTCATTCCTTCTAAATCCCATTACAATATATCACCTTAATCATCTGATATACGATCCTGAACCCCTTAATCATCTGATCTCCTTTAGTAAAACCAAATCTAGCAATATCTCACCCCAATCCTCCGATAATTTAAATCACCTTAATCCCTCAAATCCACTGATATCCATTTCAATTCTCTTCAGCCATTCCTTTATCCTCCTGATCCATCGATATACCTTTTAATTCACAGATATCCCTCCAAATCCACTAATTATTTTTAAATAAATCTTTTAAAAAAAGACTCGAAAATGTCTCGGTGCCCGACTCGATAAAGTCAGGCCCGAAAGTGACTCGTACCGGCCCGACTCGATAAATTTGGGCCCGAAAAAGACTCGTATCGGCCCGACTCGATAAAGTTAGGCCCGAAAAAGACTCGTACCGGCCCGACTCGATAAAAACAAGCCCGAAAAAAAATGCCTCGACCGTCGGCCCGACTCGAAAACGGCAACCCTAATAAAGATATAGAAAATCAAAAAAATAAATCTCTCTCATATTTTTTAAAATTTATTTTACAAAATTTAAACATTATCAACATTATTTTCTTCATTTTCATTTTTAATTTGCAAAGGTTCGTAGGCAAACATTGAAGACTTTGTTGTTGTTTTAACCCAATGTAAATCATTCCAATTAGAAATATTTAATAACATTAAAATTCCAATAATTAACGGCACAGTTATTAATAAAATTGGAAGCAAAAATAAAGAAAAATTAATTGAATTATTTGTTTCTGGTTTAATTTTTGAAGAAAATTTTGACGGGCAATTTTGAGGGAAATTATTAGAAGAAGTTGTTTGGATAAAATCTAGAGCCTCTAAAGGGTGTTGCCAATGAAAAATAGTTGAGCTATTTAATTTAGGAACACAAATATAGCCTTTAGGCTTCTGAAAAGAATTTATTAAAATTTAAAGAAATAATTGATAAAAATATTAATTAATTATTAACAGAAAAATTAAAAAATAATTTAATATACCTCCAATTCTCCAACTATTTTTATTAAACGTTCAGGCATAGGACAAGCACAATCTAATGGATTCCCGTCTACTTTTAATCCAGATATTCTTTCAATTTGTGTTTCGCTCCAATCCCAGCCCAATTTATTCAAAGAATTATTCCGAAAATCATATTCAAGAAATCGCTAAATAAAACATTTAAGATTTTTGTTGTTTTTACACAATTTTGTGGTTAGATATTTAAATACTTAGGCTGTGTCATAAATAATTAGCTACCCTTGTGATAAACGGATTAAATAATTATTAAAATTCAACTAAATGTTTTCAGACTTCGAATTATATTTTTCTATGATCCTAAGATACGTGCCTATATCCTGGCAAAGATACGTGCCTATTCCTGGCATCCTGGTTTCTGCGTCGATTCATTCTTGTCCTTTTTCGGCCTAAACAGCTCGATCTTTCATGACACCCCTAATTATAGTATATCATTTATCTAAGCTTATTTTTTTAATATTTAGAAATAAAAATTGAATATATTTACATTAGTTGGCAATAAATATCCAGGAACTTCAGTTAATCTATTTCCACATAACTCAATAGATCTAAGAAACAAAAACTTGCTAAAATCGGGCATTTCTTTAAGTGAACAATTATTTAATTTAATAAACATTAATTTAAAATTTGTTTTTCTTTTGTTAATTTGTATATTAATTCCTTCGTTTTGATTTAAATATAAAAACACTAATGAAGGCAACCACTCAAATGAATTAAATATTTTTAATTGGTTATTTGATAAATCAAGAACTTCAATTGAAGGAAGTTCTTCTTTAATTGAATTGCCGAATTTTTGGAGTTGATTATTTGATAGGTTTAGATAGGCAAGTTTTGTTGGAATATTTGTTAGTGAAGATTCTAACTAGAAATTTGTTATAAATATATTTTGAAGGGCAAGCATAACCAAACAGAAAATAAATTAAAAAAATGTAACTTGCCTCAAAACGATTAAGTTTATTTCCAGACAAATCCAACTGTTCCAGACAAGGAAATAGTGTCATTAATAACTTTCCATTTTCTGGTAAATAGTCAATTAAATTGTTTGCCAAATTTAAAGTGATTAATGAATGGCTGACATCTAAAAGACTTTCTGGCCATTCTTTAAAGAGATTTGAATTTAATGAAACGGATAAAAGTTTTTCTGGTCCAGAAGATTCGCCAAAAATTAAATGGCCAAATTTGTTGTTATCTGCATGTAGCCATTTAAGCTTTTTACATCCTCTAAAATTATTAATAAATTATTAATCTTTTGATTATTAGTAGGAGTATTCCACGGAAGTAATGACAAGGTTAACTATAAGAAAAATACAAAGAAAAAACCTTAAATTTAATTCATAACCAATTCCAATATTCCCAATTTCAAGCAATTCCATATTTAACGAGCAAAATGTCCAAGGATTATTTTTTAAATTTAATCCTTCATTATTTTCATTTATTTTTGAATTATTTAAATAAAAATTGTTTTGAAATGCCGATTTAAATATTTTTGTATTTTTTAATTTAAATTGTTTTAATTTAGTTTCTGGTCGTTTAGTCCATTCAAAAAAGAATTCTTCGGGAAAATAACCTCCATTAGAAAAATCAAATATTTCAAGGGAGGCTATATTCTCTAAAGCATTTGGATGGATTTTAATATCTTTATTTTGATCAACACGTAATTCTTTCAAAATTTTCCAATTATTTTGAGAAAAGGGTAAAATACAAAAAATATCTGATGAATTTGTTGTCTTCAAATTTTTCTGAAAATTTAATGGATTAATAATTTGTTTTAAATATACAGGAGAAGATACTTGCGGCCAGACATTTTCGGTTATTTACCTTGAGGAGGAGGAGGAGGAGGGGGAGGCTAACTAAGGAAGGCTAACTATTGTGTTAACAAAACAAGAATTAATCTTATTATTAAATTCTCTAACCATTTTAAATTTCCATTCATTTTCATTTATTTCAACAAATTCACTTTCCATTTCAATAATGTGAATTTGACGTGAAAGAGGTAAAGATGGCATTAATATATTTGTTGATTTAAAAACTTCACTTGTATTAAAAGAGCAAAAAGGATTTCTTGAAATAACCAAACTGTCGAGTATTTGCCCTTTACTTCCCAATTGTCCTCCAATTCCTTCCAATCCGTTAATTTTATTTCCACTCAAATCTAAAACTTTTAAATTTCTCAAAGTTTGGAGAATATTTTTTGGAAGTTTTTCAATTAAATTGTCAGACAAAATTAATTCTTCAATTCCAGGAAGTGGTTGAAATGCTAACGGATGTATAAATTGAAGATTTGAATGTTTAATTTGAAGTTTTTTAAGACCAGAATGCATGGAAAAATGGGGAAATTCTGATTGACTTAAATTAAATGCTTCAAATGTTTCTGCCCATTCTGGTAGTCTTACCTTTAAATAATTAATTTAAAAAATATTTAAATTAATTAGATAACCATATTTAATCTAAATTCTTCTCCATTCCCTTTAAAACAATCAACAATTTTCAGTTCTTTATAGCATATACAAACTTGACATATTGGATATTCATTATTTAATTCTTTGGTTGTTATATATTTTATATTTAAAAATAAATGATAGAAAATCAAGAAACAAAACATTTTTAAAAGAAAAAATTGAAATAAATAAATGTTAATTTGTGAAGAAAAAATAATTAATAATTGTCACAATTTACAAATAGGTAAATAGATAGGAAAATAATTGATTTCAGCTGAAAAATTATCAGTTTAGTTTTTGAATAAACAAAATATAATATTAAATTATTTAAAATTAAATACTAAAATAAATAAATAAAGTACATAATTTTAAATTATAAGTAGAGGTGGGTCAGAACAGTCATAGGTGTAGGAAGAGGTGTCGGAAATCGGAATGATTATGATTATAAGTTAATCCAAAAAATTATAAAATGTTTAAAACTTGAGATAAATCTTTCTAATGCTTAACTTGAATAAAAATAAAATGTCAATAAATAATTTAAAGGATTTCCAAAATATTCTTTCCTTTCCTTTCAACGCCTTTATATTTAAGTTGGCATAAAAATAAACCAAAAAATGTTTTGTCAATTCTCTCTCTTCTTTCTTCCAGACTTTAACAACAAATTGAAAGAATAACAACACAAAAAGCACCAAAAATGCCGGAAAAGAGAAAAATCTTTCACTAAAAATTTAAAAAGGAAAAAATTAGTCCAAGAAACATAAAAAAATAAATTTTTTATTTAAAAAATGTCTTAACTTTTCCATTTTTTACATAAATTTTCTTCTATCAATTCTGCTTTTTTTTAATTTATGAATAAAATTTAAATAAAAAAACTTTTATTTTATTCGAAAAAATTATGTAATTTTGACAATTTCCATTTTTTGTTACAATTTAATGTCAATTTAAAAATTTAAAGTTTAAAAGAAAATATTTCTTTTTATTTATTCTAATTATTGTAAAAAATATCACAAATTTTGTATTTAACTTTTCAGGCTATAATCACTTCAAATTATTATTATTAACCCTTTTCCAAAAATTATTTTTAAAAATTTTAATAATTTAATATTATTTGAGAATATTCTTCCAATTAAAAAAAGTTTTAATTTCACATTTTACTGGAAGAAGGACATGAAGCCGTTATATAATAAGTCCATTCTAACAAAAATTTACAGGGTGAGACAAATTGGATAATTAAAATTTGGCATAAAAAATATTTTTTGACGCTTTTAGATGTTCTAATAGGATTATCTTCACTAACTGTGGACCAATTTGCCGTACCCTTACTATATTTATTATTTTTTATTAATTTTTTAGGGTTTATCTACGTCTTATTATTTATTTTTAAATATATTTTTATAGTTTTTTATAAAATAAAAAAAAATAAAATTACTTCCGGTACATACTTATAATATTAAAATTCCTTTAATTAAAAATTTTCTTTTCAATTATTTTAAACAATAACTTTAACACAAAACTAATATTTTATTAAAAATTAATTTTAAAAAATTCTTGTATATATTTAATAATTTTAAGACAAATTTAATGAACCTTTCAATGATCGCGTGCCGAACATTTCTTTTAAAATATAATTATTTAAATATTTTTGTGTTACCATTGACAACAATTAATTTTTATAAGAATGTCCTTTCTTTATTTTACTTTTCTTTATTAATTTTAAGTTTTTTAATTCTCCATTTTTTACAAGAAAATTAAATTTGTATGTATTTAATTTTAAATAAAGTAATATTTAAGTAAAGAATTTTGAGGCAAAATTATTCATTTCTAGAGAAATATCCCATTTATTTTATTAAAAATAAAGGAGAAATACTGACTTTAAATTTAAAAATTTTTAAATATTTTTTCGAATACTTGTTCTTAATTTAAAAATCAAAGAAATATAAAAAATAAATTAAAAATTTTGATTTTAGTTTAAATTAAATTTAAAAACAATTAAGATTCTTTTCGGGAAATTTAAAATTCATTGCTTGGTTAACGCGTGTTCAATGTTTAACCCAAATAAATTGGTAATATTGTATATTTTTAATAAAATGTAAATATTAAATACCTTAATTAGTACTTTATTAAGGCCTCCAGAATAGGGCTGTCGATACTAATAAATGCTTTAGATATTCAAAAAAATAACCTAAAAATCCCTCTATGTATATAATTGAGAATTAACTAAAACGATAGTTAATTAAATAAATAATTTTTAAAAATCTTTCTCAGTGTGAACTCCCAGCTGAAGCTGAACAAATTCTTGGCCCCGATGTTTGGGGGAAGATGAATGAAATTAAAAACAATTCCTCGCTCTCAATTCAAGACAAACGTGTTCAAATTCATCAATTGTTTGCTACTTTGCCTGACGGGACTATAGACAAATTGCCGTTGCCAAAAGAATGTGACAATTTGCCGGCTGATGTTAATTTTTACTAAAATCTAAAAATTAATTTGAAATTTTAATTTTGAATTAAGGTTCGTGAAAAGATAAAAGCACTTTGGCGTCAACATGATTTACCAATTGAAAAGAAAAAAGAGCAATTTGAAGCTTTGATTAAAACACTTTCACCAGAACTTCAAAAACAATTGTGTGGACAAATGTGTGGGTAAATTGAAGGAAAGGAAGGAAGGAAGTAAATTAGAGAGAAAAATGATTTTAAATATATTTTGATAAGAAAAGGAAATTCATTGATATTAAAAATTAAACATTTAATGTAAAATATATCAGTAATTGTACTATTTTCGGTAAAAAATTAATTAACCATAACTAGAAATATAACAAACATTCTTGTATTATTTAGTATTAATTAATATTTTGGTTAAAATGGATAAATTTTTGTAAAGTAAATTTTCTTTAATTATTGTAAAGTTATTTAAATAGTCAAAACATTAAATAACGAAATTTGATAAAATTTTATCTTAACGTTAACATCAGTAATTAAAATTCACCTACATAATATTATATTTAAATTATCCATACTTTATATAATAATAATTTTAAAATAATTTATGTGTTTATATTAACTAAACTACAATTGATAAATAAATATTACATATTTATAGACTTCTTATCAATTGTTGGTTTTAATTATTCTTAAATAATGTTGTTTTTCCTATTCCCCCAAAAACATAATTTAAATATTCCTTATCAATTTATTTTAAAGATTCTTCTTCCTCATTGTAAACCCTTTAAATAATTCTTTACTAAATTTAAAATATTCCCCATAAACATCTGCTTCTCTTTCTTCTAAACAAGTCCAATTCAAACCATTCCCTTAAAACATTCCTTATCTAAAAATTCAAACATTAAATAAACTTTTTCAACTTTCTTTCCATTTTAATACATACATATTCAACTCCGGCCTTTTCCCTTCCGCCTTTCTTTTTTCTCATTAAATTTACCTTCCATTAACCTTAATTTGAACTGAACGTTGTATTGAACTAAACTTTAGTAATTGAAAATAAATTTGTTATTGAAAGATTGTGTTCATTAATTGTGTTAGTATAGGTTAGAAATATAAACTAAGATATAAACTTATATAAAATATAAACTTCTTAAAAAAATAATAAAAAAATAATAAAAAAATAATATAAATAATATAAAAATAATATACATAAATAAATATATAAATAAAATAAAATATATAAATAATATAAAAAATATATAAATAATATAAATAAAAATAATATAAACTTCTAAATATAAACTTCTTTTTCGCTAGAAAAACGTTTTTATGTTCAAAAAATTTTTTGAACAAAATTTTGAAACAAATTTTTGAAAAAGCAAAACAAATTTTTGAACAAATTTCAAAAACGTTTTTATGTTCAAAAAATTTTTTGAAAAATTTCAAAAATTTCAAAAATTTTTTAATTCAAAATTAAATAAAGGAAACAATGTTTTTATTTTTAATTCTTTTATTCTTAATAATATTATCATTTTGGAATTTTATTTGGAAACGTCGTAATTTACCTCCAGGGCCAACTCCTTTACCAATTTTTGGAAATGCTTTTGCAATGGATAGGTTAAAATAATTATTACCTATTTTAATTATAAGAGACTTAGGTTAATTTATGAACAATTCCAAATTTGGGCAAAAGAATTTGGGCCAGTTTACACAATTTGGATGGGTGAAGTACCTATAGTTATGGTTACTGATTACGAATTAATTCGTGATTTGTTTGTTAAAGAAGGGGATATTTATGCGGGAAGGCATTTTTTGGTAGATTTGTTTCAGGAATTTAGAGGTTTGTTTGTAATAATATTAAGGTATTTTTGGAAGGAAATTTGAATAAAACTTTCATATAGGGAAGTTTAGGACAGGAAGGGAAGTTGAGGAGTTCGAAAATTCAACTTTTTCTAGACTCTTATTAAGGTAAAAGAAGAGTAGCCAATTCCATGACTAAAAAATAAAACAAAATTATTACAATAATAAAAAGAAAAAATCAACTTATTTTAAAATAGCTACCAGAGATCTGAAAGGAGGGGTAACACGAATGGAAGGAGAACAATGGAAAATTATTCGCCGTTTTGGCCTTCAATCTATGCGAAATTTGGGTGTTGGAAAGAATGAACTTGAAAATAAATTAATTAAAGATTTGCAAAATTTTATTGAAAAATTAAAAAAAGAATTAAATACAAATATTATCGGAGAAATTAATTTACAAAAATATATTGACAGAATTGTTGGCTCAACAATTAATCGTCTTCTCTTTGGTTATGCTTTTGAAGATGTTATTTTTCTGTAAAAAAATTTTTATTCTTCGATTCAATTTTAGGAGCAAATAAACGAATTTTATGAATTAAAAAATATTATGGATAATGAACTTGAATTATTATCAAGCATTACTGGCCGAATGTTATTATCTATGCCTGGTTTACGTTATTTACCGGTCTTTTCAAAAACATTTAAATTATTGGATGATAATATAGAGAAAGTTTTTATTTATATAAATAGAATAGTTTATGAGAGAATTAATAAAATAAATTTTGGAGAAAATGAAGAACCAAAGGATTTACTTGATTATTTTTTAAAACAGGCAGAAGAAGCAAAAAATGCTAATTGGTCTGAAGAGAAAAAGGAAAACTTTGAGTGAGTGCCGCAGAAATTTTGTTTTCGGGAACTTTGGGCACAAAAAATACCTAAATCACTCTTTCTAATATTTAATTTTAAAGTTTGAAGAATTTGGCACCTTTTTCATTTGATTTATTCATTGCTGGACAGGAAACAACAGCAAAAACACTTGGTTTTCTAGTTTTATATTTGTTACTAGATCAGCGAGTTCAGAGGAAATTGCATGAGGAATTGGACAATTTAAGAGAAAAAAAAATTAAAAATGGTCTTGATGCTTATTTTACAATGAGTGATAGAACTAGATTACCTTATTTAAATGCCGTTATAAATGTGAGGATTAAAAATAAATTTTAAACAAAATATATGTTTTTGAGGGTTGATACTATTGTTATTTTATTTTAATTTAATTATTCATGAATATTTTTTAAAAAATCTTCAAAAATTATTTGTAAATTAAGGAAACTCAACGTTTGGCAAATTTACTTCCAATAAACCTTGCCCATCGTACAATGAGTGATGCAAATATATTAAATAAATTTAATCTTAAAAAAGGCACTCCAATAGTTCCACAAATTTGTTGTGTTCTTTTTGATGAAAAAGTTCGGAGAATTTATTTATTAAAATATTTATATACAAATTTAAGATATTTCCACGTCCTTATAGATTTGAGCCTGAACGATTTCTAGATGATCAGGGTATGCTAAAACGTGTAGAGCAATTAATTCCGTTTGGTATTGGTAAAAGGTATATTTAATGAATTATTGAAAACTTTGTAAATACTATATATTGTAAATACAATTCCATTTCGCAAAACATATATTTTTGTAAATATGTACAGATAATATTTTGTGTGATATTAAGCACATTTTGATGGCAAACAAAAAGTAATACTTCTCCACTTCGAATAATTTATCTTTAGTATTTATCTAATCTATATCTCATTATCTACCGTATATACTGTATTTATTACCCTCCCTGAAACAATTACCCCACCTGCTTTTATTACCCCCTCCAGCGAGAGATCGAAACAATAATTACCCAGGGTAATTAATACAGTATATACGGTATATATTTAATAACCCTTTAGACACATGTTTCATCCCCAAGTGTTGTATTTACAAGAGAGGCCCGATGATCAAAAAATTAAAAATTTAAATAATTAAAATTTAAATTAATTAAAGAATCTGTATGGGGGAATCTCTGGCCAGAATGGAAATATTTCTTTTTGCCTCAAACTTCTTCAGTCATTTTGAAGTATTTAAATTTATAGAATGATTAAACAATTATTTTTTTAATTTTAGGTTCTCCCTGTAGACCCACTTAATCCTCCTTCAAGCGAAAAAAGACGAGGTCTTACTGTTGCTCCCATTCATTATAATTGTCGTTTGGTTGCTCGAAACATTAATAATTAATTTAATTAATTTATTTATTATTCAATATATTTTTAATTTTAATAATTTTATTAAAATTTTTTTCATTTTAAATATTATTTTAATTTTAATTATTTTTATTTTTTAAAACCAAAAATAGTATTTCCTTGATTAGGCTGTAAACAGATACATTTATCTTTAATAAATAAATTTAATCGGATTAAAAACAAATTTTAAAAAATAATTATCTATTACATATTTATTGTCATTAAAATATTGTTGAAATTTATATATCTGTTATTATTTTTAATATTTATCTCCCAATTAAAAAAAGTTTTTTATTAAAAACTTTCCTTTTTCCCAATTTATTTTATCTCCAAAATTATTTAAAGATAATCTCCTCTACCCGCCCATTTTTCAATTTATTAAATTAAAAAAAATTTTTTTTGGCCAAATAAAAACCTCTCAAATTTTCATTATTTCAAAAACATTTTTAATTTAATAAATTTTACTCTCAAAAAAATATTTTTAAATGATTTTCTCAACAAAAATTATTTTACTTTCGTTAATATTACCAGCTTTAATTCTGGCTAAAAGTGGTGAAAAATCCTCTGAAATGATTATGGACGGAGGTAAAAGAAACTTTTCTATGGACACATTGCCAAATTGTACTGAAAAACATGATGATATGGATCAGTCATCTCCACGTCCTATTGGATTACCTCCGTGTAAACCTCCATTTGAACATCACCCTCGACGTGTTGGAGAAGGTGAAGGACCAAATAAGACTGTTTAAACGAAAGAAAATGAAATAAAATAATGAGGAATTTAATTAATTAAATATATTATTGTGATATTCACATTTTTAATTAATTAAAAATTAAAAATAAATATCCTTTTATTCTACATATTACAATATACATATCTAATAAAAATAGAAAATATTCTTAAAAAATTATTAAGAAGTAACTATTATATAATATAAAGTATCAAAGGATGCAAGCCATAATTTTTAAGGAAGAAACTCTCGTTTTTAAATTTAAAAAATTATTATTTTATTTGCTCATTCTTCATTAATATTTTTTCGAACTTTTGCAAGTTTCCTCCGTTTAATCTAAATTCAAAATTCCAACAGAATTTAGATTTTGATTACAAGCGAAAAAATTTGACCATTATTATCTCTTGTTTAAATCATGACTTCCGGACTATTCCAACAAATTTAGATACAGAATTAAATTCCATCTCCACCTTCATTAACTCCCCGCACTTTTGCCATCATCAAAACATTAATCGAGTAAAGTTTCGTTGAGTAAATAACATTTTTGGCCTTTTAGTTATCTCTGCTTTAAAAATTATTTTTGGGAAAATTAAATTTTAAATTTATTTTTTATTTCTTCCTCAATTAATTCCTCATTTACAAAGAAAATATTTCGGGGTAACTTGAATATTTCAAAATTTTTTAGAGGAAGTTTGGTGTTTGACTTTAATATTAAAAAAATTTGTGAAAATACTTTAAAATTTCCTTAATGTTTAATAAAATTGCATAATTTGATGAAAGACTTTTAAAATAGGTAATTTTTATTTCACGTATATTTACAATAATTATGCCATCATATTATTTAATACATTTAGAGATTCCGACTCTTTGGAATCTTTAATATCAACACACATTTTCAAATTTTGTTAGACCTAACAGCGAAAATGGAAAATACAATCCATTCTTTCAGCGCCACAATTCCTGTTAATTTAATTTATGATCGTCAGCCAAAGATCTGGAAAAATTTAATGCTGAGTAAGGCCAATTCGTTGAAGTTTCCACATTAATGACTTTGTTAATTTCTATTAATTCTAACAGAAAAACTTTAAGTCAATTTTTAAGTTTTTAATTTTAAATAAAAAATATTTTTTAAAATCAATTTTAAATTTCAATATTCGGTCTTATACATTATTTTTTAATTTATTCACTGACTGGCTATCACATCCATGACTGCCAAATCGATTTAGCTTCTCACCCCCCCCCCCCTTCACCTCCCCCCTCCCCCCCCCCCTTCACTTCTCCATCTCCCCCATCCCTAATAGGGAATTTAATTTTTTAATTTAATTTTATTTATTATTAAATTAAAAATGCGTTTAAACATTAAATATATTTTTATTATTTTTTTATCTATTTTAACTTTAATTATTTTCCTTCTAAATTTTTGTTATTATTATAACAATAATTTAGGAAAGGATTTAAAAATTAATTATGAGACATTTATAAGGTAATTTTTTAAAAATATTTTTTAAATCACAAAATTATTTTTATTTTAAAAGACCATTAATTGTTGATTTTAATTGTTTGGAAAATCAAAATAATGGCAAAAACTGTACATATCCAGTATCTGTAGCAATACCTGATGGATATCCACAAATATCAAATGAATTTATTGAAATTAAATATATTTTGGATATTTCTGAAAATAGGGATTTTTGGCTTTTTAAAAATGTTAACAATTCAACAGATTTAATTGCAACTAGAGGGTAATTATTTAAATTATATTTTTGGCGGAAAATTAATTTTTGGCAAAAGCTTAAATATTTAAATTTTATTAACAACATATTTAAAAAAAAAATAAAATAAATTATTACGAGATAGAATTTCAAATTAAAAAGTTTTTCGCCAGAAAAAATACCTTGGTCCCTCGATGTCACTGTTATTCCACTAAATTTAATTACTCCTAATCCTATACTCTGATGGGACGCATACTCTATTACTTACCCTCCCTCAAATAATTACCCCCTCCAGCGAAAGGTTGAAACAATAATTACCCCCTTAAAAATAGTGATAATTAGCCTTCCTAAAATAACCTCTATTAATTACCCTACCTCTATCAATTACCCTCCCCAGAGAGAGATCGAAACATTAATTACCTAGAGTAATTAATAGACTATTCGGTATACTATTTTTGGGACGCATAAACATGTGACGAATGTAGAGCCATTATTTTTATTTAGCATACATTTATAAAATTTACATATGTAACTAACTTTTTAAGGTTTAATCGTTCCCAATCAAATATAAAAGATGTTGAAATGCCTGCTGATTGGAAAGCTTTTAAAAAAGATTGGAAAAACGGAAAGTATTTAGAATGTACCCCTTTACTTGAAAGACCCAAATATACACGTAGAGCAATCCCTATAAAATTCTTGGACAGACTTGTTGAATTCTCTAATTTATTAGAAAAATATAATGCAACAGCTTTTCTTATGGGTGGAACTTTACTTGGTAATTTAATTTTTTAAAAATCATTTACTTGAATAAAAAATGTTTAACAATTAACACCCAATATTTTCTTTCTTTTAATAAAAACATTTAAAATACCCAACGGTTAACTTTCTGCCATTACCCGTAAAATACTAATATTTTTCATTAAATTAAAGGTTGGGCAAGAGAATGTTCATTAATTCCACACACTACAGACACAGATGTTGGTATATTCAGGGATGATCACTCTGAGTTAATATTTTTTAATTTTTGAAAATTCTTAATATATTTAAATTTTTTGTTCTCTTTCGAGAAAATAGTGGCAGTTAAATAGTGAATTGTTTAGTTGATTCTATGGGCTATTATACATACATAATTAAGTATAATAATTAAAGTATAATAAATACATAATTTAAGCATAATTAAGGATAATCGTAATTTAATTATTTTACTTTATTTTAATTATTAAATGAGACTTTTCCGTTTATCTGTTGGGAATTTAACTAATTTGAAAATTTATGTACTAGCTTAGTAAGATTCATATATTCAAAAGTTACTAATTTATTAAAAATTAAATTTACGTTAAATTTACGTACTAAATTTACGTATAATTTTAAAATAATAATTATTTCTAGTTCTCTTCTACGTGAAATACTCACCTCAAAAATCTTCGAAATTCATTGGGTTCTAGGTCGATTAAAGAATTCTTTTGAATTAAGTGTTTATGTGGATGGAAACAAAATTGATCTTTTTTACTTATATAAAACAACAAATTCAACAGAAAATGCATCAATTGGTGGAATGCGTCATTTGATAAAACAACGTCTTCGATGGAATTATCCAAAATTGTCTGGAGAAATCTGTGCCGCAGAAATGCATGGAAGACTTTTTCATGTTTTGTGTGATTATTATAAAATTGTTGAGGTACCAAATTCACACATCTAACCACCTGTACCTGATAGGTTCATAGGATCCACCGCCAAAAACCAATAAAATTCCCGAAAATCGGGAATTTACGACGTTTTTTGGGTCGGGAATTCCCAATTCGCGAAATCGGGAAATTTATTTTTGTCGGGAAAATAAGTGCCATTTTATAATTAAACTACATACATATGTATATTTGAATTAACGTATATGCTGGAATACTCTTAATTACCCCCTCCAGCGAAGGTCGAAACAATAATTGCCCAGGGTAATTATTTGAGTAAATACGGTATTCATTTAATTAACTTAGTTCATGCTTTATTCTATTAGAGGAACAAAACATAAAAATATAAAACCTAAAAAATATGCATGTAATCATTTCCTTCCCACGTTATATATGTGGGGAGGGAGATAAATATTTATCTAACACTCATTCAACTGTTATGTTTTTACAATAATATTTTTATTTATTTTTTTATTTTTAAAGTCTGATTATGGAAAAGAAGAATGGAAAAAGGATCACCATACAAGCAACTTTGCTTGGGATAAAAGTAATAAAAACAAAGAATCTATGGAAATATATACAGAAGCAGAATGGCCAAATGTTTACCTTTATGTTGGAAATAAAAATGATCGTTTTGACTCTAAAAAAGTTGATGAATGGATTAAAAATATAAACAAAACTTTATGAAAAACATCCAAAAATTATTTTATTTTTCACTTTGATTTTATTTAAATTCCATTGAATTTTATGTATATTATTTTTAAATTGATATGTACATACATTAAATATTTTAAATTGGCACTTTTTTATAAAGAGGATTTGATAAGAGAGAGGTGTAGGCTAAAGCACACTTTATAACATTTTTAAAAATTAAACAATTTATAAGTCAAACGAAAGAGCTCGTCGAACTGAGTTTGATACCTCAAAATTAGGCGAGCTGAGTCGAATGAACCAAAATCTCCATGATTGGTGTCATCTCCATGATTGTCTGATTCTGGTGTCATTCTACTCAGCTTGACGAGCTCTTTCGGTTGAATAAAAATTGTTTAATTTTAAAAACGTTACTACTCACTGAGAAATCGAGACTGGCATTCTTGTTAATTCCACGCTAGCCTCTTTACTTCTTTAGGGAATGTATATATGGTAGTATATACAAGCTCTAACACTATTTACATCCCATCAACAAATCTTACTTATATCTCTCCACTATATATAAGTAGAAGGGAAAGAGAAACGCTGGCGATCCTGCTCGGCGCCGTTTCCCGCCTGGGCCAGTGCTGCCTCGACGTGTTCGCTGCTGCGTTGCTCTGTGTCTGCTGTGTGCTTTCTCCCATTCACCATCTCTGTGTTTGTACCAACTTTTCAATTTTCAATGTTAAATGTCTGTCACACTCCCAATCCAAATTCAATGTCTAAACTCTCGCCTCAGCAAAACAATAAAGCAAAACAGCCATTATATTTCGTACACCCACTTCTCTCCTTCACAAACAACTCTATATGCTCTGATTCTCTCCTTCCAATTTAACTATGTATGTTCTTCTCTCAACCATGTGCGAATATGATTTGCGTATCGCCGCAGTCAGGGCACACTGGAAGTGGCTTAAGGCTTGGCCTCAGTATGCCAGGGTTCGGGACATCTCCCAAGAACATCGGCCTGGACATGGCCTTCCATGGCGGTTGCATACGGTTCGGAAGTCGGTGCAGTGATCGCCCAATTTTTTTTCTCGAATGAAACAAAAATAATAAATACACTATGGTGAACTGGGGAGAAATATCTCTTTTTGTTTCAAACATTCAGGCAGTTCAGTTTTTGTGGGCAGTTAAACATTATTTAATAAATTGTTTTTATCTTTTCAATAAATTTTCATAATTTAGGTTAATGAAAATAATTCACAAAAATTTTTTATTTAACAAAATCTGGAAATATTATGTAACATTAAAAGACAATTTTAATAAAATAATTAATTCACATTACAGTAAGGTGAAAAAGTTTATGCCGTTACACCTCGCACGCAGAAAAGTCGATTTATCTCAGGAAGAAAAGGGACTTAAATAAAAATCGATTATATATTAATTAAATATAGTTCATCCTTTAGAATATCCATAAAAAAAATTTTTTAATAACTAAGTTATTCAAAATTTATTCGGTCATAACTTATTTACCTCACATTTTGGGGGAGCAAAAGTTTATGCCGCTTGTAGGAAAAAATTTTTTTGGTTCCAAAACAAGACGAAAAAATTACAAATTTTTTTATAAATATTTTCATTGATAATGGATGGAAAAAAAGAAAAAAACGAAGTCTGTACTTGCTTTATTCATTGAGATCCCAAATCTCAAAAATCAACGGGAAATGAGGTTACAGTACTTGAAAAAATATTTAAACTCCCTGGGGCTTGTATTAAAAATACTTTTTGGGCTCATTAGAAAGCCCATAAAATTTGCTACAAAATACACTTGCTCTCATATGTGTGAAAATTTTTAGCTTCGAGATAGGGTGGCATAAATTCACTATCTTGTCAAAATCACTCAAAATACCCTATAAAATGCTCATTTTTATTTCTTCAGTAATTAATGTCACCCTACCTCGGAGTGTAAATTTTTCAAATATAGGATTCTAACCGTATTTTGTAGTAAATTTTCTGTGCTTTCAAATGAGCCTAAAACGAAGATTTAAAAAAATTCATAAGGGGTCGAAAATATTTTTTCAATTACTGTACCCCGATTTTACGTTGATTTTTGATATTGATGAAAAAATTATTTATCTAATTCATTCTTTTTACTTTTCCATTCAATATCAATAAAGATGTTTATAAAAAATTTTTGAACATTTTTCGACTTGTTTTAGAACCAAAAAAAATTTTTTTCTAAAAGCGGCATAAACTTTTGCTCCCCCAAAATGGGTGGCAGGTAGGTTTTTCAGCCTATAATTTTTCATTAAAATTGGTATGGGAAATTTTGTTTATAAATTTTATAAATAGAAGGTCTACTCTTAAAAAATATATAATCGATTTTATTTTTGTCCCTTCTTTTCTCGGGTTATATCGACTTTTTCCTATGCGAAGTATAGCGGCATAAACTTTTGCACCTTACTGTATCTAATCTTTAGTTTAAAAACCTCAATTTAAAAAGAAAAAAACCCGATTTTTAGAAAATAATTTCCTTTCTTCATTTCCTCAATATTTTCTTCTTATTTTAAAATTTTTGTTTAAATTCCCTCAATATTTTGACTTAATAAACGTCGAAAGAATAAAGCAAAAAATAATATCGACAAAACAAAAATCCAAATAAGAGGATTTTCTAAAAGAAAGGGACGAGAAGAGGATTGAATTAATTGTTGTTGTTGTTGAGTATTTGGAGGAATATTATTGGGAATTGAAATTTGTTGTTGTGGCGATTCTTCGACTTTAAAAGAAAAAAATTATTTTATTCAAAATATTTTTTATAATAAAAATACTTTGTTGTGGATGGTCATTAATTAAATTATTTTCTGATGCATCCACAACTTCTCTCACAATGGATTCAAGAGTAGAAACTTTAAAAAAGTGAAAAGTATTTTAAAAATTTTTTTAACAGAATCTCCCACCATCGGATACAGGCCCGCAGCCAGGGGGTAGGGGGGGAATTCCCCTCCCTCCCCCGAAATAGGGAAAGGGGAAAAATTTGGGGAAGGGATTGAATTTTTTGGCCTACGACCTTCGAATTAAAAAAAAATTTCTCCCCTTGGCCTCACCCCCGAAAAAAATCCTGACTACGGGCCTGATCGGATATATGTATATTCAGCAATAACTATAATAATTTTCCCGTTATTTTTTCAAAAATAAAAAATTAATTTACCAATTTCTGGGGAGGATGAATTTTCTTCACGAGAAACAGCCTTTTTACAAGAAACATTCTTTACTTCCTCTATTAATCGTTTAGTGTCTTCATTTTTCTCAATTTGAGGAAGAACATCTCGCATTTTAATTCCACATTGAGGACAATTCCAATCCAAACTCCTTTTAAAAATTTAAAAATAATTTTAAATTATCTTAAACTTTTGAGCTTTTTGTGGAAAAGGGGGGACCAAGGCTTCTGCTGTTTCCCTGACCATTTTGAGCTTTTTTACTTGACATATAATTTAATATGTATATCATTCGAAAGAGCTGTTCGAGCTGACTATGATCGGTTAGATTTTTCGCAGGCGAAAATTTTTTAAATTTATGATGGCCTATAAGTCAGAATTCCTCCTTTTTGGCGCCAAAAATTTTAATTTTTTAAAAATTCGGAAATCGAAAATCGAAAATATCACAAAATTTCGAAAATAGGAAATCGAAAATCGAAAGGAAAAAAACCTCGAAAATCGAAATTTCGAAACATCTCTGGCTCGAAGAGCTTTTTCGGTTGATAAATAATTAGTCATAAAAGTTTAAAAAATCGAAAAACAGAAAGGAAAAAGGGGGGGGGCAGCCTTGGTATTACTCAGAATTCATAAATTTTCAATTTTCGAACTTTAAATTATTTTTATAAAAAATCTTTTAAATAACTCTCAGAATTTTATTTAAAAAATATATTTACATAATTGCCAATCGTTGTCTTTCCTCTGGACTACACTCCAAACTTCCAAGTGCTCCAGCTGAATGAGTGGGCCTAAAAATTAATAAATAATTTTTAAAAAAACAAAAAAATACATAAATCCAATAAGTGCCAGCAGAGCTGTTCTAATTGACCAAGACGGCAGCCAAGTCTCGGGGTGATAACCAGAAATACTGGAAAATAAAAAAAATATTTTTGGGAGAATATTGGCCGAATATTAAAGAGAATTCTTTTTTGAATTTTTCCTGATTTTAGCCATAGTTCCACGAAAAAATTTTCAATTAAAATTAAAAAAAACCTTAAACAAATATTTTTATTTGTTTCGAATCTTCCATTCGGCGTTAAAAGACGTAGATTTGGCGGCTTCATTGGATACTCAACAGGAAGCAAAATTCGTCCGTGATAAACACCCTCCGAATAAACAGTATCTGGAGGCCCTCGAACAGTAAAATGCCATTCAAAAAGATTTTCCTTCAAACTTTGAGGTTATTTAAATAATAAAATTATCTGATTAATAAACTAATTTTGTAAAAATAATTTTTTAAAAAATGTAGGTAACCCTTAAGATCATTGGTGCCTGGAAAAAAATATTGAAAAATACTCCTTTGATATTTCTGAGGCTTGCCAGTAGGTAATCGAGTGTGCTGAGTAGAGATCGAGCTGGGACCGGACCAAGGCCTTGGTTTTTCCTGTACCCAGAGTCCAGGCCCAGGCATTTTTTGACCATCCTGGGTTTTTCCTGGATTACAGGCCCAGGACCCGGCCCAGGCTTTTCAAAAATCTCGATCTCTAGTGCTGAGTCTGAGCTTAGAATTTGTTTATTTCGAATCCCAGACCCAAATTCGACCAAGTCGAATTAAGAGCAAAAATTCAAATTTTAATTTTTAGAGCTTATCGACACTCAATTACCCAGTCAATTACCTACTGGCAAGCCTCAAAGATATCGAAAGAGCATTTTTCAATAATTTTTTTCCAGGGACCAATGATCTTAAGGATTACCAAGATTTGGTATTTTATCATAAAATAATTATTTAAAAACCTCCAAAGGTTGAGCATGAAATAATTCATTAGGTTTACAAAGTTCTTTAGCTTCATTCAATAAACGCTTAACCCCTTAATTTAATTTAAATAAAAAATTAATTTTAAATTAATTAAAAACCAGTAGAACGTTGACTATTTAATTCATTCGCATTTTGGACAGAAGAATTTCTTTGGGAATTTTCTGAATTCATTTTATAATTAAAAATTCATCTAAAGATTATTTATTTATTGCCATAAAGGCGCAATGAAAATAAAACAATAAATTCAATCAAAACACAAATACATTATTATAAATTTAATTAATTAAGCTTCAATTCAGAAACAAATTTGGATTTTTTAAAATTGGACAATTGGATTTTTAAATAAACTCCAACATTTATTTATTTATTTATTTATTCAAGAATAAAAATGACAATGAAAGGGATGGACACTTACATTATTGTCAAAACACAAATACATTATCTTAATAAAATATACGATATTTGGTCAATAATAATAGGTTAACTGGATAGTCAACAAAAATAATCATAAGAAAAGATTTTTTGCATCAAAAAAAAAGATTTTTTTGCTTAATTGATCATAAACTAGTAGTTGGTCCCCGACCCTTCTGGGACAAAAAGTTTAAATTTAGAGATTTTTGGCATAAAGAATTTTTAACAATCACAAAAGAAAAGTTGAGCGTGTCTGGTGATTTCGCCAGTGAATGATTTGGACAGTAAACGCAAAAAAATTTCTTTCACGCAAAAAAATTTTAGTAACACGTGAAAAATAATTATGTATAATCTCAGCATTAACTTTGTTTTACTTATATTTTTTTAAAATGAATAGGTAATTACATAAACAAAATGGCAAATAATAAAATTAAATGAAAAGAGATAGATGGCTAAACACAGCTACGGGATCTCAATTACCCACCTATTCTTGGAATTTTTTTATTTTTTAATGTTTCCCTTAGAAAAAATAAATAAAAATTTTAAATTTTGTTTAATATATTTTATTAAATGCTGTAATAAACATCTTACTATTTTTAATTATTTATGTCTGTGATTTTTAATAGTGAAATGTGGCTTTAATCGATGCGGCGAGAAAATAATATGGCAGTAAATGTATTATATTATAGCCCTAAAGATCAACTTAAAATAAATAATTAAACACAAAATCGGCAACTTTAAAGTAAATAAATATTTTTATTTATTTAACTTAAATTAATCTTTAATATTTAATATAGTAAATTGCCGGTATCAGAAATATTTAGATAATATTCACAATAATTTACCGATAAAATTTGTGAGAATTCTTTCTGAATATTTACATAATTATTTATTCTTTTTTAGAGTTATTTAAGAATTTTTTCTTTAATTTTCTTATTAATTTACTATTTAAAAATATTATTCACTAATTTAGACAATAAAAATCTTTTTAAACTATTTTTAAAGCATTTTATTTATTAAAAAATTCTCTCTACAAAAATTAATATTTGATTATTTTCTATCAATATGTATAATTTTAAATTATCACTTTTACTATTCAATTTAAATTAATTAGTGAATAAATAAATTAATTAAATCTATTGAAATTTTTATTAATTTTAAATTATTAATGTGTATTTAGTTATTTTTTATTTATTTCTTTAATTATTAATAATCATTAATTTTTAATTGTTTTTCTTTCATTTCCAAAACTTACAGTCGTCGACATAAAGATAGGGACAAGAGTAATTTAAATAAAAATTAACTATTTTTCGGTCAAAAAATACGTTCTATATATCAATCAAAAGCTCTATTCGTATCTCAGTTGACATGTTTCTGCATTTTTCATGAAATTGAAAATTGACCGAGATAATCCGGATCTGCCGGATATACCAAATCCTATATCCTCGGAAAAATTTTTCGGAAAAAATTTAACGAACCCATTTGATAAAGCATATTTTTGTGAGCATTTGCCACAAAACCGCTTAGAAATATCTTTCTCCGGACCAGAGATATGATTTTTTGAAAATGGCATTTTTCCCTTAAAAATTGAATTTTTTGCAAAAATAGACGAAAAATGCCATTTTCAAAAAATCATATCTCTGGTCCGGAGAAAGATATTTCTAAGCGGTTTTGTGGTATATACTCACAAAAATATGCTTTATCAAATGGGTTTGTTAGATTTTTTCCTAAAATTTTTTCCGAGGCTGTGGGATTTGATATATCCGGCAGATCCGGATTATCTCGGCCAATTTTCAATTTCATCAAAAATGCAGAAACATGTCAACTGAGATACGAATAGAGCTTTCGATTGATATATAGAATGTATTTTTCGACCGAAAAATAGTTAATTTTCATTTAAATTACTCTTGTCCCTATCTTTATGTCGACTACTGTAAATTACTTTATAAAATATTTTTACTTATAAAGATTTAAAAATGATCACCAATATTTTATTAAATAAATTAATTTTTTATGTACTATTTTTATTAATTAATTTAATTTCTTCTACTTCAATTGCACCAAATTTTAGAATTGATTGTGCTCCTATACCGGGAGAAAATAAATTCAAATGTTTAGAACGAGGATGTATTTGGGATGATAATTATGATAAAGTAATTATAAACTTAATTTAAAGCAAATAATAATTTTAAATTTATTTTTGGTTCTTTATTTTAATGAACTTCTTAGAAAATTTAATTATCCTTACGGAATAGGATATAATTAAATTAATGCTATAAATATTTTTTTCAATTTTTACTACAGTCGGACCTCGTTGGGAACAGGCCAGTGTACCGCGAGCCCAATGTACCGCCGAGCTATAACTTTGTTCAAAATTGTCGAATCCGTGGCGCTCTGGTATGGTTCGATGCGTTTCGACCAGCTGAATCGAACCATACCAGGGCGCCACGGATTCGACAATTTTGAACAAAGTTATAGCTCGGCGGTACATCGGGGTGTACCCGACCTCGTTTGATTTTACCAAAAAATCTATTTATAAAAGGTATATTTAGTGTAGAACCCGGACTGAGACGAGATCTCGATCAGGAATCTTGGTTATCGAGATCTTAATTCGCGTACGACCCTACTCTAATTTATTTTGTGTATTTTGTTTATCTTTAACTAAAAAATATTTAATTATTTTTTATTTTTAAGTATCATTCTTCTGTTCCTCTTTGCTATTTTCCACCAAAGACTGGATATCGGATTCAAAAACGTTTAACCAAAAATAAATTATTATTAGAAAGAACTAAAGGAGCCAGAAATCCTTACGGGGAAGATTTTAAATTATTGGAATTTGAAGTTGAAGAGATTTCTTCTGCTCTTTATGTTAAAATTGGACATGATAAACGGTAATTAATTTAATTAAAAGTAAAGGAAGGTGAAAAAGTATTAGTTCCCTTAATAATTTTCTAGTTTTATTCCTCCAATCGAATTAAACTTAAATTCAAAAATTGAAACATCAAAAGAAGATAAATTAAATATTGAAATATTCCCTCAATTTAAACAAAAATTGAATGGTCTGAGTGATTCTGATGAATTTTTTTCTTTTAATATTGTTAGGAATAAAACAAAAATATGGGATACTTCTATCGGTAATTAATTAAAATTAAATTAATTTTTTATGAAGAGTTTCTTTAAGGGGGCCTTCTTTTTGCTGATCAGTATATTCAAATAGCTACTTATTTACCTAGTGATAGAATATATGGATTTGGAGAAAGTCCACATCAGTCATTAAAAGTGGGTTTCCTAATTTTTTATAACTTTTCCTTAAATTTTTTAGCATGATTTTTCAAAATATACAACTTGGGGAATGCTTGGTAGAGATCAACCACCAGATTATTACAACCCCAATTCGGCCAATTTATATGGTGAAAAATTTATTTATTTTAAAAAATTTATTTATTTTTAGGTGTTCATCCATTTTATATTGGATTAGAATCAAATGGAAAGGCACACGGAGTTTTAATTTTAAATTCAAATGCACAGGAGATAACTACGGGACCTGGGCCACACTTAATTTATAGGTAGGATATAAAAATGTTTCTTTTGTCTAAAATATGTATACTAATCCTCATTATGTATGTACATGATAATCAGTTTGCATGACACTCAAACATTAACTTTTATCTCCATCTATCTCGTTGTCACAATCTAAAAATATATAAAAATTATCCAAAAAATTTTTTCTTAATTTTTAGAACAATTGGCGGGAGACTCGACATTTTATTTTTGCCAGGACCTACCCCAGAACAGGTTATCCAACAATTTCAACAAATAATTGGCCGCCCTTGTATGCCTGCTTATTGGGCATTAGGCTATCAATTTAGTAGATTTGGATATAAAGTATTAAATGAATTTAAATTAATAAAAATATTTTGTTTGTTTAAAAGGGTTTGGATGATTTAAAACAAACAATAAACAGAATGATTAATGCTAAAATACCTATTGATGTTGTTTTTGCTGATATTGACTATATGGAACGTTATAAGGATTTTAGTGTTGATTCTGAGGTATTTAAATATTTTTTGAGAGAGATTTTGGAAATTGAAAAAATTTAATAGAAATGGGTAGCAATGAAAGAATATATTAATTATTTACATGATAAAGGGCTCCGATTTGTTCCAATTGTTGATCCAGCAATACAGGTGGATTAAAAGAATATTTAATTTTGGAATTTTTTTAAAGGTTAATTATGATGTTTTTGAAAGAGGAATTAAAAGTGGAGCTAAATTTGTTGAATGGGAACGTTTTGATCAAGTTCAAAATTCTATACAGAAATTATATCCTTTAACTAAATCAACAAAAATAATGCTGGGAATTGTTTGGCCTGATAAACATGTTGCTTTTCCTGATTTTTTCGATTTTGACAGAGAAGGCAAAACACAAAAATGGTAAAAAATATGTACTTAATTTGTAAAATTTATTAATAAATGTCCAAATCTTGGAAGAAAAATGAAGTAAAAATCGGAAATTAAAAAAATAAAACCTCCTAATCAGGGCTAGACGCATTTACGAATTGCGTAGAATTGCGTGTTTTTTTGACTGCGGATTTTAAAATGAAAATTGCGGCTGCGGAATTTTTTCAATTGCGTCCAGCCCTGCTCTCAATCCAGAAACAACTAAATATTTTAAAATATTACACTTTTAATAAAAAATCATATAATATACCTTACCTTATTAATATTATTATAATAATTATTTAAATTTTTTCAAAAATAATTTTTAGGTGGATTGACGAAATAAAGAGATTTCATGACATAGTAAATAAATTTAAAAATATATTTTTTTAATTTCTTAAAATTAGTTACCTTTTGATGGTCTTTGGATTGATATGGATGAACCTTCAAATTTTGCAACAAATCAACAAGCAAAAGAAAAAGGCTTAGAAACATTAAAATGTCCAATGAATGGACCTGATTCTAAATATGATAATCCTCCATATAAGGTGCTAATTTATTTTTAAGACTGAGAATTAAATTTAATTTAAAGACAATAAGTGTTTATCAATGGAAAAGTTTTCTTAGTGAAAAAACTCTTTGTATGCTTGGTAGAACTAGAGGGGGAGATTATAATTTATATGATACGCACAATTTATATGGATTGGCTGAAACTATTGTTACTCGAAAAGCTTTGGGTAAATTTAGATAATTTTTAGTAAATATAGTCCTCTTAAATAATTTTTTTCTTTATAAAATTTTACTAAATATTTTTATCAATTTAAATAAATTATTTTTTAAAGTTTATTTTTTTTGTAGAATCAGCAACAGGCAAAAGAGGGGAATTAATTTCACGGTCAACATTTATCGGTTCTGGTAAATATGGAAGTCATTGGAGTGGGGATAATTCTGCTAAATGGACTGATCTTCGGGCTTCCATAATTAGCGTTATTGAATTTAATATTTTTGGTGGTTTTTAACTTCATTTTTTAATTAAAAAACTTTAAGGAATTCCACATATGGGGGCGGATGTTTGTGGTTTTAACGACCCTTCAAACGAAGAACTTTGCCTTCGTTGGCAACAATTGGGGGCATTTCATCCTTTCTTTAGGTTAGAAAATTAATTGTTAGTCGAAAAAAAACATTTTTATTTTTTAAAGAAATCACAATTCTGACGGTTTACCTCCACAGGACCCCTGCCAATGGGTATCTGTAGAAATTGCAACACGCGTCTCTAATTTATTTCGTTATCAACATTTACCTTTCTTATATACGTAATTCTTATTTAAATTTTTTTAATTTTTAATTTTTTCAGATTACATTTTCAAGCTTCACTCAAAGGGGGCACAGTTATTCGGCCACTTTTCTTTGAATTTCCAAATGATTTTAATACACACACTTTAAATTATCAATTTTTGTGGGGATCTTCTTTGATGGTTATTCCTGTTTTGGATCCTGGGGTAAAAAATTGTTTAATTAAAAACTAAAAAAATTTTGAAAAAACTACAAAAAAACTATCATAAGTAAGCTTAAAGGTGATTATGTTAATTAACATTAACCTCTCATTTATTTATACCCTCATTGTAATTATATGTACTTTATTCTTTTAGATGATATTAAAAATATTTTTTAGTTTACTTTTTTTTATTTTTAAAAATATTTTTAAAGGTAGATAATGTCCGTGCCTATTTTCCAATTGATTCTGTTTGGTATTCAATTAGCCATGCAAACCAATACGGATCTGAATATTTTTCTGGTTATTATAATTTAAATGCACCTCGTGATACTCCTTTACCTACATTTTTAAGAGGTATTTTTTTTAAATAAAATATTTTAATTTATTTTCTGTAAGGTGGTTCAATAATTGTAAAACAATGGCCAGAACTTACAACAAAAGAATCTCGAGAAAATCCTTTTCAATTAACTGCTGCTTTGGGTAATTATTTTTAGATTAAAATAATTATTATCAACAACCATGAAAAACTAATTTTAAATTAAGACCCAAAAACTTTAACCGCCGAAGGTCAACTTTATTGGGATGATGGAGAATCAATTATTTCTGATTTTGATAGTCATCAATTTTATCATTTTGAATTTACAATTAAAATTACAAGTGAACACAAAGGGAATTTAACAATTATACGTAAACATACTCCAAATAATGTAAAAGTTTTTTTTAATAAAAAAATTCTCCCTGAGATCTCCTTAATTTGACTTTAATTTAAATTAATTATTCCCATCCCAAAATTTTTAATTTTTCTAGACATCAATTATTTCTTTACCTCCACTTTCAATTATTGAAATACTTGGATATAATACAACAGCAACATCCAACAATAATTATTTAAATATTCAAAAAATAATTTTAAACGGGAAATATTTAAATATTAAAAACAGTGAAATACAAATAAATTTAAATAAAACAAAAAAATATTTAAAAATACTCTCTCCAGTTTTAATTAATTTAAATGATAATAAACAAGATATTTGGAATCTTGAATGGTTTTAATTAAAAAGAAAAGAAGAAAAATAAAATGTTAAATGATTTTCAAAAAATATTTTTTATTTTTGAATTATTATTTTTATTTATTTATTTTTAATTTTTGAAATTAATTAAAAAATTATTTAATTTACTATAATTTCTTCATTAATTTCACATTATACCCCCACATGTCTACAAAATTTTCCGTAATGTTTGTCTTTTTTCATTCCTTCTTTCTCCTCTCATAAAGACTAAAAATTATCAAAAGAAAAAAATACCAGGAGTTTAAAAATAACTTTTTGGGAACAAAGTTGATGTGAATATGAAGTCTTACTCTACGGCAATAAGTACCAAGATCTTTTTTAGAACCTAAGGTCCGGTATTCTGAGCGTGCACAGAAAATTATTGAGTAGAGCTCAAAAAAAGATTTTATGGGAATAGAGTGAACTTATTTAAAATAATACTGGTACGCATCGGCTTTGGTTCTAATTACTTCAGCATGTGATTCACAACTTAGACTAAATAACTGTGGAAGCAAATTTAAAAAACAAAGTTGACATCTTTCTCAAATTGACTGCTTTATTTAAATTAAACTTGCAAATGGTTAATCTTTCGACAATTTTTTAATCTTCATGAGAGGAAAAAGAAGTAAGGAAGAAGAGGGAACATTGTAGAAAAACATTTTCGGGCATGTTGGGGTGGCTTTTGATGAAATTCTGAAAGAAAATTATCTAGGTAATTCTCCTAATTTTCAAAATTACTCATTCATAAACAACAACTCTCTATAAAAAATATTTTTTATAAATATTATTTATTTTCGTTTTTTAGATACCTTTCCTTATCAAAATAATAAAATTAAATAAAGGTTTTATCTATTTTTATTTATTAAGAAATTATTTATTTCATATTTATGAAATTGATGTAAATAAATAATCATATTTTTAACATTTAATGGGTATTTAATATTTTTATTTTTAAATTATTTTGGTTTTGATTGCTTATAATTTTGGGGTCTGTATTTTTTAATAATAAAAAAGATTAAAGTTTGTCGGGGTAGAGCCTTCGGAGTTCGGGCCGGAGTTTTTGCCAAAAAAATCCGTCGGGGCGGGGTTTTCTAGGTCGAGTTGCTACTCTAATTTAAACGTTCCAGAATACTCCAAATTAAGTGCCTATTTTATTTTGTAGTTTGTTTAATAGATAAATTGATGGAGTTTATATTCCTTAAATTTTCTTATCTTAAATAAATTTATAATCAATTTTATTTAAAAATTAAATATATAAAATATAAATATTCTGTGTCAATTATAATTTTTGTAAATTATTTACTGAGAATTTATTTAAAAAGAATTAAGGGTCTAAAATAAAATTAATTTGATTTTTGTTTTGTTGATTATCCAAAGATATTAAATAATTTTTAATTTATTAATAATTAAAAAAATTCTTTTCAGATTTAAACAAATATTTGTAGTAATTTCCATTTACTTATACTAAATTCATTTAAATTATCAACAACAAAAACAATGGGAGAAGGATTTCATTTTCATCCAGATTATATTTCCTCAAATAGAGGAATAACTAAAATTGTCCAAATTGTTTTGGGTTTGGTTGTCTGTTCGGTTTTGTGTTCTAATTGGTTGGGGGTTTTCTCTTGATTATTTCTTCAATTAATTAAAAAATAAAAATATTTTCCAAAAATATTAGTGAAATAATACAAAAACATTTGACCAACTTTTAATAAAAATTAAATAAAGGTATGGCGGTTCAAGCTGTTTTGGCGAAGGACGACTTGGTTATGTAAGTGGACTTAACTTTATTGTTGTCGTTGTCAACATTGTGATATTTCTGCTTGGATTATTTAGTATACGCTTTCATAAAACGGTAATGGTTATTTTATAAAAAATATTTTTATCAGTGAACACTAACAAAAAATATTAGTTATTTTAAAGTAATTAGAGTTAGTTCAGATTTTAAAATAAAGATAACATAGTCTAAAAACCAAAATAATTTTGTGTTTTTAAATTTAAAAGAAAATGGAGAAAGAAAAAAATATTTTTAAAAAATTCCTTAATTTTTAGGAGCAACTTTACAATTTAATTGCGGCTCTACTATTTCTTATAGCCATTGTTTTGCTCCTTTGGTTTATGATTCAATACAATACATGGGGAATTTGGATGATAATTGTTGTGGTATGGTTTTTAATTTTAAAATAAATTTTATGAGTATTCCTATCTTATTTTTAAGATTAAATTAATTTTGTTTACTTTTAAAGGTTTGTATTATTATCATCTTCATACTTTTCCAATGGGATTTTAAAGGAAATCGAACAATGCAAGATGGACATTTACCTATTTAATTTAAAATATGTATTTACAATAACGAGGGATTAGACTAATTTTTTTGGACCTAAATTTTAAAAATCTCCACAATCGAGTAAAACCAGAAATACTTGTCTAATCCTTAATACAGTAGTGGACAAAATGTATCTTATAACAAATTTTGTGGGTTATGAGCATAAAAAATAAATTTTTTAAATTCCATTAATAAGGTGAAAGTATTCTTTAAGTGAAATACTTTCGAGTATTTTGGGGGTTTCATATCCCCGTGAGAAAAGGTACTAGAGGTCTTATTCTTTACAAAATTTGCTAGTAAAAAATTTTGTATTTTTTAAGTCTTTACAATTTTGTCCATTACAGTATCAAAATACCTAAATAAAAATAACTCCAAATATCAATTTATTTTTCAAAAAATTTAATTTCTTTAACATTCAAAAATTAACAAATGTTTTCATAAATTCAAAATAAAAAAAACAACAATTTAAATTAAATAACAAAAAAACTTTTTTCCCAAATTTTCATTCCTCAACTTTCTTTGCCTTTTTCTTTTTCATTTTCTTAGCAGGCGGAGAAGTAATTTCTTCCTCCTTTTCAACTTTACCTCCATCTCCATTCTCGGTTTGCATTACCTCATCATCTTCTACTGCTGCAGCTCTTTCTCGTTTTAAACGTTTCCTTTCTTTTTTGCGAAGTTTTTCAATCTTTAAAAATAAAAATTTTAAATTTTCTACATTTCCGAAAAAATCCTTAAAAATTATTCTAATTGTAAGAAAATTCAAAAATACAAACCTTTGCCTTTTCTTCATTTGCCAATTCCATTGCTTCATGCATTACATCAATATTCTTTTTAGGCGCAGTTCCGGTGTCGTAATATGTTAGTCGATCCTCTACCTAAAATAAAATATTTGAATGGTTCTGAAATTTTTTTCGTCTTAACAAGTCCCTAATTTCACCCAAATTATCAAAATTTTGGCAAAAAATTTAGAGAACTCGACTCATAATCAAAGATAAAATTTATAAAACAGTTTATCCTTTATTTAAAATTTTTACCTGTTGTCGAAGCATTTCTCCAAACGTAGGAACTGGCAAATCAGAAAAACTATCAATTCGGGAAGCAATCGCACATTTATTAGCAAGGAATCGACTAATTCTTCCCTTATGTTTAGGTGCTGCACGTCCAATAAATGTTGAATGGAAAATGAGACCATATTTTGGAGTATTTGCTAAAAAAAGGAAAAGAAATTTAATTATTTAAAATCTAATTTTTGTCAAAAATATTTAAAACGACTCAACCGCTCCAAAAGTCGAAAACCTTAATGCCCTATAACTTTCCGATTTGGGGGTAAGGCCAAAAAAGCAAAAAATTGGCAATAGGAAATCGACCTTGCTCTACACTATGGTATAAAAATAATTACGAAATCTTTGGTCAGAGTTCGATAAGGTTTTAAAAATTATAGGGCTTTAAAGTTTTCGAAAAAGTTTTTAAGACCAATTTTAGTTTTCCCAATGTCTACAAGTGTTTAAATCAAAATACAAACTTTTAGTTTTCAATGCTCTAAAAAGCGCCTTCTCAGCTCCTAAAATTTGAATAGTCGATGCAGGATATTTTGCCAAATTTGTTAAACTTCCAGCACGAGAAATTAGACGCGCACCGACCTTTAAATAATTATTTAGTTATTTAAAAAAGAATAAATTAATACTTGTTCTCCAATTAATGCAGACAAAGAAGGCGCGCAACTATCCATACGATTCTGGGAAAATTAAATATTACATACAAGAATGTTGACATTAAGAATTAAAAATCAAACAAACTTTAATATATTCATGTAAACGTTGTCTATATTCAGCCAACGCAGCAACGCGTTTGGCAAAAGCATCAATGTTAATTAAATCCATTTGAGCAATTTCCATTCCCATTGAAGTACGTGCCGCTTCGATTATTTCAGCCGCCTTTTGCTCATCATCGATAATTTCTGTAAAAGAAAGGATAAATCATTAATAAAAGTGTATCCAGAAATCGGATTTCGATATGAGGATAAACTGATAGTATTGGAGTTTAAAACGAAAAAGTTAAGATTTAAAGTTCGCGTCGTCCTAGTCGGGGAGTTATGGATCTCCCACATTCACTATTTATGTAATTTCATTATTAACCAAAGAAAATTGTAAATTTTACAAATATAAAAAACAAATAAAACCTTTAATCTTCTCTTCAACATTATTATCAATTTTTTCTCTATCCATTATGGCAGAAGCACATTTAACATATTTGTAGAGGTCTGGCACTAATCTGATAAGCTCCGGAAAATGATATGCATACCATTCCTTTATACGCATTCCAAAAAGATTTATATCCTTATCTAGTTGATCCAAAAGAGCAATTGATTGAATAACCATGTTATCGACACGATGGACATCAAATTTAACCTAAAAATTAAATTATTAAATTAAATAGGTTAACAATGTTAAAAACTAGTGTATTTCGTTACTATAGGCTAACTACTGTGTTAAAATTCAGCGTATAACCTGTAATCATATCCATAAATAATATAATAAATTAAAAAATAAGTGGAATTAGTCTTGATGATAATCCCAAAGTTATAAATAAACTAAAAATAATTTTAATATAAACCTTTGCGCGTGAGTAGCTATGGCCCAACGAGAGTTGTGCTTTATTTAAAGACGCATGGGGCAAATCCTTAGCCAACAAATGGAAATGTGTTCGAACTCCTCTAAGGATTTCTTGAACAACAACAGCAAAAGTACACCTTAAAAGAGATTGGAATGCCTCAGAAATTGAGACAGCTAGACGACTATCTGCAACACCAAGCAGAACTTTTTTCTTCTTTTTAGGCAAAAATGCCTCCAAAAAGTTCAGTAAATCCGAATGGACTTGACCTAAAAATGTAATAAGCAATATTTAAAACGACAAACATTTTTCAAAATTATTAAATATTTAATAAAATTCAAAGAAAACCATCTCTAGTGATAAATGAAACTAATAAAAATAACAAACCTTCTGCCAATTTATTCGCATTCTCCAAAGCAGCCTCAGTATTCTTAAAGGGTTCAAAAGCATGGACCTGAACTATTCCTTGAAAACGTTGGGGATCGTTCATCGACTGTTGTACCTAATTATAAAGATTCTTATTATAATGTAACATTATCAATAGATCTCTGATCAAATGGGGTAAACTTTGTTTTTTTATTCTAAGACAACATCCGTAAAATCATTGACCATAACAAATGCAAAATTTTAAACTTAAAATAAAAACCTCTGGAAGTATTTGCCCAATATCCTCAAATTCCTTTATTTTAAGCAAAGTGTATCCAACAGCATGTTCGTATAAAACATAATTTGGTGCTTCCGCAGTTGACATTTTAAGCTAATTAAAACTAAATGACAATAATTAATTCTATCAAAAATATAAAATTGCGAAAACATGACAATTAAAAACGAATAATTTGAAAAATTTTATTCAAAATTAATATTTAAACTTTAGCATGAAATATGTAATACATTGCGGCGCAAGATAAAGTTGCGATATAGGTAATCAGGGAGAAAACAGGAAACTTAATTCAGAATTGAAAGATTATTGAATTGAGAGAATAGTCAATAAAGGTAAAATATGACAGAACGTCCAAATGACAACTTGCCAATTAGAAATTTTGCATAATCAAATGGAGGAGCAATTACGTTTGTGCAGATCCGAATAGGAAAGTTAATGTGACAAGAATAATAAAAATCACAATATTATATAAATGATTGTTTTTAATAGTCTGGCATTGTACGGGTGTACCTTAACTCTTGGTGAGCAGAGCTTTCCATTCCCATTAATTTACTAATTGTAAGGTGATATAAAATTTATATTAAAACCCTTGATTTATAAATAATGCCTTATAAAAATTTTACTCATATCAAAAAAAAATTTATAGAATATCACATTATGCAACGTCTGGGTAATTTTAAAAATGTGTATTCTGAGAATTTAGAAACAACAGCAAAATTTCTTAATTTTCTAATTTATTTTAATTACTTCTCATTCAATTACCCAGACTTTTATAAATTTATAATTTAAATTAGGTATATTTCAATTAGCTCCACCCTAACCAACCCGCAAAGCTAGAACCTTCGCCCTTTTGATCTTGATTTCCTTGTGGAGCTTGAGCTGTTATATTCATTCTAACCATTTCCATCTCTCGTTCATCCAAGTGTAAAATTGTTTGCAAAACAGGCAGTAATTGTGCACGTTCATCAAAAACTCGAGGTGGCGTCAAAAATTTGAGTACTAAGAAATGTTGATTAAAATTTTTTAATTAGAATATAATAAGCTGTGGAATTCGATTTAAAAGGATTATGAGAGGGATTATTCAATAAATCGATAAATAGTTAATTTAATTCTCCTTAATTTTTATAATATGGGTACACCCCGATATATCGCGAGCACAATGTACCGCCGAGCTATAACTTTGTTCAAAATTGTCGAATCAGTGGCCTAATTAAATTTAAAAAAACCAACCAATATTTTTAAAATATTCTGAACAAACTTCATTTTCCAATTGTTTTGCTCTATGTTGATTTCTTTCTAAACGACGAATTTCTTCCTTGAGAAGATTATTTTGTTCATTTAATCGGACATTAATCTCTAAAATATTGCTTTTAAATGTTGCAAAAATTAAAATTTTAAAAACCTTCTGATTCGCTCAAAAGTTCCCTACAAGAATTAAGCTGTTGAATAATTGAATTATATTCTTCATGGCTATAATATACTCGTTGTAAACCGCCATTTAATGACAAAGCATCCGAAGGTAGTTCAGATACATTAAATGAAGGAACTTCACTTAAAGATAAATAAAATTTTAAAAATTTTGGACCTAAAAGAACTCCAGCGACAAAATAAAATATTTTTCTTAATCATTTAAAAACCTGTTTGGCTCAATTTCTGCCTCTCTCAACATTGACTGTAAATCATCAAGCGAATCAGTTAAACTTTCACTATTCATTGTGGCATTATCTTCATCATCTATAACAGCATTTCTACCAATAAACTCATCGTCAAAACTTGATTGTTGATTTTGTAAAAATTCTGTTGGAATTTTTGTTGTTAAGTTTAAAGGTTTTGGAAATTGTTTTTGCTGTTGATTAATATTCTTCTTTTGGATCGAAATTGAAGTTTTTCGTTGTTGTTTTTGAATAAAATGTTGAGGCAAAGGAGGCGAATTGGAGGATGTTGTAAGCTTTTTCTCGTCAAATGATGAAATCTTTAAAAAATATTAAGTAAATAAAAATTTAAATAACGGGCTGTTTTCAGCTAATAATTAGGTAACTAACAATAAGAAGCAAAATTTTATCTTATTTAACAACCCGAATTAGCCCCAATATTAATTTAAAAAAGGAGATTCTGTGAAGGAAAAACTAGTATAAGAATGCCCTTCAAACAATATTGTCCCACTCTAATTTTCAAACAAAATACAAAATTAAAAAAACCTTTCTTTTCGCCTCTTCTAATTCACTTTCCAAACGTTCGCATTCAATCTTCAATTCTTTTAGATTTTTAATTGCAGCAATTTCCCTTCCAGTAATTAATTTTAAATCATTTTCTAAAGTGATTCGAAGCATTTCTTCTTTCTTTAATTTTTGTTCAAATTCCCCAATAGTCCTCTGGCGTTCTGATTGTGATTGACGACGAATTTGTGAAATTGAATCATGCAGAGCATTTAATTCTTCTAACAATGTTTTGGAATATTCTTGACTATTTTTGACCTCTTCTTCCAAAAATGAACATTTCGTCCTGAAAAAAGAATTTCAAAATATGTGTATTGAAAACCCACACAAACAATAAATGAACATTATAAGATATACAACGAGTTATTCTAATTATAAGAAACTTTCCCCATAACAAGGAAAAATTTTCGGGAGGCAAGGGAGAGTCAAAAATTTTGATTTTTTTGATCCAAAAAATTCGTTTTTTTTGCTTCGCCCCTCCCCAAATTTTGTAATTTTAACGATTTCAAGGGAAAATAAATAAAATAACGGAAAAGTTTAAAAACCTTAATTGTGAAATCAAGACATTTCGTTGTTTAAGCAATTCAAGTAATTGATCAATCTCCCCGTCAACAGACACATTGTCTGCACCAGAGTTATCTACTGCTTGAGATAGAGTTGAACCATTGGCAGGAACATCAGAAACCTTCGAAGATTTGAATACAAATTCAGCACGCTCCTAAAAATAAATTTTAGTTGATGAAAAATAAAAAGATTTGGCTATATGGAACAACAAAAAATATGCAAAGTTAAAATACTCATCCCATTTAAAAGTTTTATAATTACTTAAAGCATCATGAGTCACAAAAAGCAACTCCGTATGTATCAGGGAACAAGCCAACATAAAAATAAAATTCACGATTTCGGGCAATCGGGACGGCTCGTTCCCTGGCAATCCAACAAATATATAGATGAAATTTCGACTTAATTCTTTTTTGTATCCGAATAATTTTAATCCTCAAAAAAAAAATAAACCTTATAATTTTTAAATTCTTCCTCTAAACATTTAATTTTCGCTACCAAAGTATCATTCTCACATTTTAATCTTTTTACTTCGGCAAATCTAGCAGAACTTGCTCGCTGTTCATTTTTTAATTCAGCAGAATTTGTTAATAAAGATTCATTTAAAAAATTAATTTCTTGTTGCATTTGTTGTCTAGAATCATTTAATTGGACTAATAATGAAGAAATTTCTTTTGAATTTTCAGCAATTAAATTGGATTTTTCGTCAATTGATTGTTTTAATTCTGTTGATTCGATGCCTTTTTGACGAAGTTGTTCATTTGTTTCAGCCTTTTCTTCTTGTAAAGTAGCAATATGTTGTGAAAGTTCCTAAAAATAATATTTAAAATTTTGATTAAAAAAAAGAAGGTAAATTTTAAGCAAGGTACAATCAGGACGGCTCCCAAAATGGCACTCGGCCATAATGGCACAAAGCATAACTTGCTGGAAAATGTCTGGTCCTTGTCAATTTTGGTACCAATCTCCCTAGCTCGATAAGAGGAATCGTTTGATACTAAATCTGTTAGGATTAAGAAATTTGAAGCAAGTTATGGCTTTGCGCCATCATGATCGCGCGCAGTTTTGGGCGTGTCTTTTTTAATCCTACTCAACAAACATGTCAAGAAATAACGACAAAAACAAACCTCAATCAGAGCCTCCTTTTCAGCCAATTTTTCTTTGCAGTCCTGTAAATCTTTCTTCATTTTAACACTAGCATTCTTATAATCTTCCAATTCAACAATAAGCATTGAAGTTCCATCATGTTTGCCTTCAAAAATGGCAATTTTTGAAGACAATTCTTTCACTTGATTTGCATTAGCTTCATTCTAAAAATTTATTTATGATCCAAAAAATAAAAATATTTTAAAAACCTCGTTTTTACTGGCTTCCAATTGTTTTTTAAGCTCCTTCTGATTTAATAACTGCTTCTTAACCAATTTAATCAAATCATCCTTAGAGAGCGCTTCAAGCTAAAAATAATAAAAATGACAATAAGACGAGAAATAATAAAACTTTTGACAAATTTTGTTGAGGCTGCTTTGGTTGTTGAGGCTGAATTGATTCATTTTCAACTTTAGAATCAATATTAAGAGTAGTTGAAGCTGCTGTATTCACATCTAAATCCTCATTTTCTCCAGATATCATTTAATATTTAAAATTTGTAAAAGTTTATTTCACAGTCTAAAATTCAAGAAATTAAAAAAAAAATACTTGTTGCCAACAAGAGAATTAAAAACAAAATTTACCTTTAATCGTTTACTTGACTTTTTATTATTTTAACATTTTTAACGTCCCCGTCGGAAATATCAAAAATAAGTAGTCCAAATGTCAAAGAATCGGCAAAATGTATTTAGGGAAATTTGTATATATGGACAAACGACAATTGGACAGTAAGACAATTTGGCAGTTATATACAAAAGTCTATAATGTTTTTCCGGCATGTCCATAATTCGTCCCACTTAAGACTCGTCTAACTTAAATTCGTCCCCCCACATTTCGTCCCAATTAATAAAAACCCAAGACTCGTCCACCAGTATGTACAAAATCCATCAAAAATCCCTACTTCTCCATGCCATTTCTTGCCGAGACTGTTTTGACCACAAAACTAAACCCCAAATGACTCTCTTTAGGGCCACAAATTTAATAAGTCCTTTTAAATATTCTTTTAAAATAATTTTATTATAAATTATCAAATTATCATGAAATTAAACATAAATTTCTATTTATTTTACATGTATTGAGGATTATTTCTACTATTGACCGTAATAATTCTAGATTTTTCATTAAAAATTCCATAGCTTTCAGGTACTTGAGAATAACCATTTTGGATGTTTTTGTGTTGATAAACAAATTTTGTTGTGGTTGTTAATAAAAGCTAAAAAATTTATAATAATTAATCGAATTATAATTTAAATATTTTCTTAAAAACTAACCGTTAAAGCTAAAAAGGCAGTAATAAAAATTAAAATCCAAAATGCTGATACATTTACTAATTCTGAAGTAGATTCTTTTTTATTTAGTTGCGGCAAATTTGGATAATTATCTGTTAATTTTAGAAAATATATTTTTATTTTTAAATAATTAATTTTAAATTATTTTTAGTTATCATAATTTAGTTAACATGACATTTGATATTGTCCTAAGATATTAGGTTATCCTTAGGAATAACAGAACAATAATGCCCAAAACTAACTAATGTAAATGCTCTAATTAAAGCCCGGCTCTATTAGAAGCCCATATCTAATACAAGCCCGCCCATATTGACTCATTGAAAAATAGACGCCCAGGGCTCAATTAGAGCGTTTACGGTATATAAGTTAACAAAAATTTTATTTAAAAATATTTTTACCATTTTTAATTATTTCTGTATTATTTTCATTATCTTCTTCTCCCGAAAAATCATTTGAAGGTAAAACAGCAAAAGAAGAACCAATTATTGGCAAAAAAGGCTTAATAGTTTCTTCAAATTTATTTTTATCTTGTTTATTTCCAAATAAATCTAACCAATTATCTTCTTCTTTATCTTCTTTATTTGAAAAGAAAATATAAAAATATTTGTAAATAATTTACCTTTATTATTACTATAATTCCCTTCAATATTTTGACGAGCTTTTCTCTCCACAACTGGCATATCATGTAACCAAAAATCTAAGCCTTTCACATCCTTAGAAGGAAACACTTTGAATTGTAGCCAAACTCCGAAACTTTGAACCCCTATAACTTTTCGAAATGGGGGTCAGGGCCAAAAAAGCCAAAAATGGGCAATAGGTTTTCGACCCTGTTCTACACGATGGTGCACAAAAAATGCAAAATTTTTCGCTACAGTTCAAACTGTTTCTTTGTTAGAATAAATATTTTAATGAAAGTTTTATTTAGTCAGAAAATTGAATATTTTGCCCTCCCCTACATTAACTACTTTTATTTAAAAATTGCCTGATATCCATCAACATTATGAGGTGCTTCCAAAATTGTATTATTGTCGCTAACATTAAAAGTTATTCGAAAATAATTTCTTCCATTCCAAGTTTGAGGTCTCCAACTTTTATCAGGAGAATGTCCTCGTATAAAATTTTTAACCATTTTTGGATAATAATTATTCATTAATTTTAAATCAGTTCTGTTTAATTCAATTGGATGAAGACCAATAAAGAAATACCTTTTTTAATATTTAAATCAAAATATTTATATAATTTATTTACATATCACTAGCATGATTTGAATAATTAGCAATTTCAAATTCACCAACATAACTAATTCCCCCAAATCTAGTATTTACTAAGGAGGCTAAAAATGCTTCAGAATGTATTGATTCATAAGAAACACGCATATGTGCTAAAAATTTATTTAGAAATTATTTTTCTGATAAATATTTATGTGACTAACAATAAATAATTATTATAATTTTTATATGTTGATATAATTAAGATAAAAATTCAAATCAAATTTAAGGATAAATCAAATTTAAAGTATCACATAATTTTTAATTAATTGATAAAATATTAAAAAATTTTTAGTTTAATTTCGACTCTAAAAATTAAAAAAACTTAAATTTTAATTTTTTAAATTGAATTTTTACTTGATATATTAAATTCATCCTTATATCTATCAAAACAAGCATTATATGATTGGAGAGAATAATAACCAAAAGTTCCTGTTGCTTTAAAACATTCCTTGTCTAATCTATCATCTGACCAACGATCAAATTCAACTATTGTTGTTGTAATCATTAATGGAATTGGCTAGAGAAATATTTTCTCTGTATAATTTTTAAATTAAGAACCTTCCAATTTCGTAATAAATGTACATAATTATCAAAGGGAAGTATTTCTGTATCTGACCCGGGTCCACTAAAAACAATATTAAAATTTTCGTTGTATTGTTGTTGGCGTAATAAATCTAATGAATCTATTTTACGTAAACATTTGACTTTTTGTTTATCAGAAAATGTTTTGTTTGTTGAATTATCTCGAACACACTAGAAAAAAATAATTTTTGGAATGAGAATTTAAAAGTATTTTAATTTTTAAAAAATGTTTAAAGGTTTCTATTAACTCAACAATTCGATATATAGTTTTCATTTTTTAGAAAAATTGTTCCTATAAAATAAGGTACAGGATTAATTTTATTTTCCATTGTAATCTCAATTAATTACCCTCTCTAGCGAGAGGTTTAAATTACCCAGGGTAATTATTTGAGTAAATACGGCAATTAATATTCTAAATATAAATGAAACTTTTACATTAAAATGTTCTAGAAGAGCAAAACTTTGTCTTAAATTTGCATCTTTTGTAAAAAAAGGAACTCCAGAACTAATAAATGCCTGCTGAAATAATCCTTCCCTTACAGCTGGAGAACCACATAAATAAACTAAAGCAGAAGCACCAGCACTATTTCCCATTGCTTATTTATAAATGAAAATTATTTTTAAAATTAATTTTTAGCAATTATTTATGTAACTATTAATTATTTAAAATTACCTGTAATTCTTTTATTATTTCCACCAAAATTGTGAATTTCCTTTTGAACCCATTCTAACGCAAAAATTATATCTACATAAATTAATATTTAAATATTCCTCATTTATTTTTAATTAGTTTACCATGCATTGCTAAATTTCTTTTAACAGTTTTATCATTCCCTAAATCTAAAAGACCAAAAACACCTAAACGATAAGCAGGAATTACAAAAATAATTCCATCAGATGAATATTTTTGTATAATTTGTGTGTCATTAAACATTGTAGCAGAGTCATAGGCAAAACCTCCACCATGAATATAAAATAGAATTGGGCAGTTTTTGGTTTTCTTAAATTATTTCATTTAATTTATTAGAAGGACAAAGTTAGAAGTTCATACACACTTTGAACTATTGAAAAATTGTATCTAAATTAGTGTGTCCATTGTTAGGGGTATTTAGCCTCCTAGGCAACTCTCCCATAATTTAATTAAAAAATTCATTTGTGGTATATTTATTATTAGGGTCAGTAGTTAGTTCCCCATGTAGTTAGTACTCGACTGGTGACGAATTTGATGTGATTTTTGGCTTTACAATTTATCTCACACCAGACAAGAATTAATAATCACAAAAAGAAATATAAAAACTTGCCAAACATTTAGGGCTAGTAAATATATTAATATAAATACAATCTTCAGAAATATATTTTTGTGGAGAACGAGTACTTGTTGTATTCTTGAAAATATTTAAATAAAAAAATTAAAATAAATTAAATCCTTAACAAACATACACTAAGACAAGCAGCACTATAATTTGTTGCATTTAATATTCCATTCCAAGGTTTTTTCTCCTTTAAAGGTAAAAATCGAAGTTTTCCGATTGGTGGCTCAGAAAATGGAATTCCCTTTTTTAAATAATTAATTATTTATTTAAATTAATTAATTACTTCAAAAACAATTGCTGGTTTATTCTTTCCAGCTACAAAAGAAATTCTCCCTTCAATTTTACCTCCAGTCAATTCAATTGTTGGATTTTGACAATAAACACATTTTGTCTGTTAAATTAGAAAGAAAAATATTTTTTTTAAATTTTCTCTTTGTAATACTTTAGTATCCACAAATTCCTTTGTTTTATTTTTGAAATTATGCCCATGACGATTAAATATCCAATCAAAAATATTTTGTTTGCTAAAAACATTTAATTATTAGAAAATTAAATAATTTATTTTACTTAGTATTTTCTGAATTATTATTTAATCCAATAATTTTATTTAAAAGAAGAAATAGAAAAAATAATAAAAATAAATATTTCATTTAAAACTTAATTAATTTAATTAATTAGATTTTTAAATTGCAAAATAAAAACAAATATATTTACTACATATTAAATATACACTAATAAATTAATACACTTTTATTAACTTTCTGATAATAAAAATATATTTCTGATAAATAAATTGTAAGAAATATATCAATATATTTATTTACCTTATCTGTAATTTATCGAAAAAAGAATTAAAAACATATTATATGTAGTTACATTTATTTCCCTCCCAAAACTTAAAAATTAATATTTAAACTGTTATACATATATTAGTTTTGAAGAATTATTTGAATTTTTTGTTTTGGGGGGTTTTTCTGCTTTTTCTCCTCACAATCATTTAAAAGAGGGTTTAACTTTGATGACTGAACTTTTATTAAGTCAAGCGGTGTTTTAATTGAGAAAAAACTTTGCCGGCGATTCCCCATTAAAGGAGTTGTGCGGTGATGCTCTATATTCAAGCAAAATAGTTTCTCGGGCAATTTCTGAAGGAAATTCATCTCTATGATAATGAAATGTCTTTACTCATAAGTCTTTGCTCACGAATTAGCTTATTATAATATACATATTAATCATTTATAAATTTAAAAATAAATTTAAATTAATGTGAAGAAATCCCTACAATTATGTTTTCTAACTCTAAATATTTTTTTTCGAATTTCTAATTTAACAAAAAATATTTGAATTTTAAATTAATATTTATTTTTAAATATTTTTTTCTTTCCTTTCGATTATTTTTTGTTCCATTTTTTAAGACTATTTTTTGTGTAAAAATAAAAAAATCAGGGCAAAAAATCGCCGACGGGTCCGTTCCTTTATTTTTTATTTAAAAACCAATTTTAACAAACAATTAAATTAGTTAACTAATTACGTAGTTCATCAAAGAATTCATCAAAGGATTCATCAATGACCAAGGCTAAAATAAAAAAAATTGAAAAAATAGCTAAAAACAAGAATATAAGAAACGAAAAAAAACAAATAAATATTTATATCCGGCTTTTAAATAATAATTTTTTTATTCCTAATTTTTGAATATTTCTTAAACTAAAAAAAATTTTTTTACAAAAATTAATTTATTTAAAAATTTTTTTTTAATTTCGTAAATTATTAAATGGGTAAAATTTATTCTTTATTGTTGCTAATAAATACATATACATAAGTATTTGGTCCCTAAAACGATTTTAGCGTTATTTTTTTTAATATTTCTAGTGACCCCCCCCAATCCCGACCCCCAATCATTGACTCATAATGGTAAACACTAAATTTTTTTCTAAAAAATTTAAAGTTCTCCTTTTTTCCAGTCGTCCTTCACATTTTCTTGTTACTACACAGACATTTAGCAAAAATAAGTTGATTGTTTATATTGGCCGCCGAGAAAAATTTTATAAAGCAACAACAACAAAAAAAGTTTTTGCACTTTTTGAAGGTAAAAGGCTGAAGAAAAGGTCATTTTTGATTTTATCTTGTTTTTTTTTGTCGAAGAATTGGAAATATTATTTTGCACTATATTTTTTTAAATAAAAAATAATTTTAAACTAAAAAAGTGCATTAAATTCTTCCTGATTTTTTTGCTATTTTTTACACTTTTTTTGTTATTATTGCTACCTGAATATTTTTAAACTTTAAGAAAAATATTTTTGTAATGAGGAAATAAACAAAAATAATAAAAATAAAAAAATATTAATTTAAATTAAAGTACATTTAGATTTTTAATTATTTTTTAAAATAAATTTATATTAAAATAAAGAATTTGGAAAAATTCGAAATTCATTTCATTTTATTTTTTTGATACTGTCAAAAATATAGACACTAAATTGAGAACACATATAGGGTTATCGGCTTCTAGAAATTTTTCGGATAGCCGAAACCGGCACCTCTTAAATCCGGCACCTCTTAAAGCTACTTATAGACATACGAATTTAAAAAAATCAAATAAAATATATAAATTATTCATGTTATTTAACAGTTGTAATCATCTAGGTACATACCTATATATCGAAAATTGAATTAATTTTTTTTTGCAAATTTTAACCTGAATAAAATTCAAATATTAAATATTTCTTTTTTTTTTATTTTAAATTTCCTTTTAAAATATAAATGTCTCCATTTCTATTTTTTCATTTCATAGAATCTATGTATTTCCTAATTCTTTGAATATTCCACTTTTTATTAGTTCACTATTCAAAAATCTTTTGTTCCTCATTTGAATATAAATTAAAATTATATTTTTTACTTAATACAATTCTATAAATATTTTTTTTGACCTTCTAAATTTGTCTTGACTATAATTTCTTTATAGTCTGGAATTTAGATAGCAATTTACCTTTGTTTAATTAAATATAAAATATATTAGGTATTTCTAAAAAGATTTTCTTCAGTTTCTGAGAAATGGAAACTTTTAAAACTTTGAGAAATTTTAAAAAGAATTGGAAGGTTAGAAAAATTATAGGTTTTATCATCTTCATTCTTTTAAGCTTCATTAAATATCCTCTCCCCTCCCCTCCAAGTAACTTAACTAATTATTAAATATATTTTTACTTAAAATTATTTTAATTAATTATTGACTTTTTTTTAAATTTTTTAATATAAAAATAATTTAATCTTCTTTTTTTTCATTATAAATTTAAACAATTTACGTATTTCCTTTTTGTCTACTCACATGCTTCTCTTTATTTTTGGGGAGGAAATATTATTAATTATTAAATAAATAAATTGCACTTTCCGCGCATTTGTATGTACTTTTAAAATAAAATAAATATTTAATTATTTCTTTCATCAATTATAAATATGTGCTTCGATCTTTTCTTTTTAATTTATTTGTACTTTTATTAAGCTTTTTCTCTCTCTCTTAAATTTTTGAGGATTAAAAGTAAATGTGTACTTGTATTTAATTTGTACTTTTCTCTATGTATTTCCGACAAAAAATATTTTAATATATTAAGCGGAACCAGACAAAATAATTATTTTTTTTATTAAATAAAACACAAATAAAAGTGCTTTTTGTTGTGTAATTATTTTTTAAAATTAATTTTTGGACTAATAAAATGGTGATTTTTGTAATAATTTTCAAAAAAAGAAATAATTAATTTAAAATATTTTTTAAAAATTTAAAAATGTCTAAATTTCTTTTTAATAAATAACGGAAATACTAAAAAAATATTTTAAATAAATTTTTCAGCTTTTTAGAGGTACTTTGAATCACGATTTTTGTCTTAACTCGTGATTTTTTGTACTTTCCCAATTTTTTAAGTTTTAATTTTTTGGCAAAAAAATTTTTTTGGTAGAAAGCCAAAAATAGAAAATATACATTTATAATTCTTTTTATTTGGAATAATTCCAAAAATAGTTTTAAAAAAGCCGCCAGTTATTTTTGCGTAAGCGGTTGGACGTTTGTTTTAAATAAAGAGGGAAGACGGATGCAAAAATTATGTACGTTTCCAAAAAAATATTTTTTTGTGAGAAAGGAACAGATGTAAAAATAAAAAGTAACTGATTAGTAATTATATTTTTGTAAAAAATATATAATTAATTTAAAAATAAAAATATTATTAAAAATAAGCCAAATAAAATATTAACTTTTATTAAACTAAATATAGAATTAAAAATTAATTTGGAAACTTATAATTTAAATAAAGAATTGCAACTACCTAAAGAATGTCAATTTAGTTTACTAATTAATTTAATGATACACTCTGTTCCAAACTTATAAGGTCACCCTATTTTTTATCATATCTTATTGGAAAATCGTCGAAATTTTTTGAAATTTCTTCATAAAAAATTTTGACGTTTTTTCAATAAGATATGATAAAAAATAGGGTGACCTTATAAGTTTGGAACAGAGTGTAACCTTTCCTTCAAAAATTTCCTTTCTCACTTTTCTTGTCCTCCAGATTTGGGTGGCCCTCGAGAGTCTTTCTATATTTAAAGAGAATTACCCCCTCTAGGGACCAAAAATCCTTTAAAC